TTTCCACAGCACGCCACAAACCCATCGTCACCATTTTATTTTCGACGAAATTAACACTCTCCACTGACAAAGTCGAACCCAAAAAATATCCACCACGACCACACTGATCTCTTGCTGAAAACCCTGAAATGCCCACAACACGACACCGACCCACACTCACGATTGTTTTTCCTCGGATATCAACACAATCCACTGATGATTTTCGGTTTCCACGAAGCAATATTGCACGAAAAACAATGTCCTTATCAATCGAGAATGTTATTAATGCCACGTTGTATCCACTCCCCCACAAAAAACCGGGAAAAAGTCTGATTTTTCTAATGAATTGCCGGCTAATAAAATGGCGGGATCCGGAAATTTTGGCGGTTTAGCAAACGCCTATGAAATTCTTTGCTCACGGTCCCGCGTCGTTCTGTACAGACGCAGGCGCATTCGCTTGGAGTGTCTGCGCATAGCAATGCCCGTAGCCTCTTGTGCGCATGCGTGGGCTCTCCGACGTCTCACCATCTTCTGACGTAGTCCATTATTCCCTCGCTTTTCGGTGAGCGAGGTGCCCGGCTACTTTCAGTGCGTGAAATTCCACGGAAATTGCCGGGTATAAGAGCACAGACATTATAATACGCGGATCGTCTAACAAAACCGCCGGTGTTGACGACAAACGTGTAGAAAACCGAGGGTAAGAACGTATTTAGTGCATCTTGCAGTGAGTTTGTGATAAGACAAAGGATGTTGGGGGCATTTGAATTATTGGAAGTATGGGACGATTTTCATTTGTCGTGATAAACTTTGAGGGCTTTGTTGTGACCTTCAGCCTTTGTTTGAGGACATGGTGTCGTCTCGTGAGGCATCGAAGAAATTTATTGAGACTTTTGGTGACACGAGAACGAACGCGCGCTACAGCGCGCTATAATTATAAAACTCGTGATTAAAAATTGTTAATTTAAAAGAGTTCCAAATTCAAATTAGCCGTCTCAGATGACTGAACCAATGAGGAATAAGCGTGACAGAGTTTCGAGATAGTCTCGATGTTTGTCCTCTTTAGAGTAGGACTTCGAATTTTTCGCATCCGTGAATATCTCCTCGATGCTCATGTTACCCTGATACTTTCTCAAAAATTTCGAATTTTTCAATTTCAGTGAATACCTCCTCGATGCTCAATACCTCCGATGTGAATATCTCCTCGATGTTTATGATACCCTGACACTTTTTCAAAAATTTCAAATTTTTCAATTTCAGTGAATATCTCCTCGATGTTTATGTTACCCTGATACTTTTTCAAAAATTTCAAATTTCTCAATTTCAGCGAATACCTCCTCGATGTTCATGTTACCCTGATACTTTTTCAAAAATTTCCAATTTTTCCATTTCATTGGATACTTGTTCAATTTTCGATTGCGTGTGGCGTCCTCCCTCCCTTGGGGTGCAGTACTACGCCGCTGGGGTCACTCAAACGCCCAGAACTGAACCTCTACTTCAGTCAATCCTCTTTGGTTGAACCTTTACCACAAGCATTGCCGATCTACTCTATAACCTGTTTAATGTTTCGGAGTTATTCCACTCAGTTATTTTCAAAATTTTTTTCATTAACAGTAACTTCTCGTTGGGTATCCAAAATGCCGAATATTAAAATAGGAACGCACAGTGGATGTTTCCATTGTGATGAGGCTTTAGCCTGTTTTATGTTAAAGCAGCTGCCAGCTTATAGTGATGCCAGCATTGTTAGGTAAATATTCTCAGTCATTCACTGTGAATCTGAAATTTTTGTAACAACCTAAAGACTTCACGCTATGTAAAAAATATTCATAACTCAAAAATAAGTAGGACAACTGTCTGATCTTCAGATGATTGTAAAAAATAGAAAACGAGAGCAATTTTTCGTACACGATTGAATATTGGAAAATAATTTGAAGTGTACAGATTGTTGTCAACACAACATGTGACTTTTTAATTAAAACAACTGAATTTAGATCCAGGGAGAAAGAAATTTTGGATGGTTGTGATATTGTCGTGGATGTGGGAGGTGAATATGATCCGAATAAACACCGGTATGACCATCACATGAGGGAATTCACAGATACTGTTCAATCAGTCATGAAGAGGGATGATTGTAATTGGGATATTAAATTGAGCAGTGCCGGCCTGATTTACTGTCATTTTGGTCACCAAGTCATTCGACAGATGGTCCCTGAAATTCTTGATGACGATGATATTCATAATATATTCAAGCATGTTTACAATTCTTTGATAAAAGAAGTCGATGCTATTGATAATGGAGTGCCCATGTTCGATGGTGAACCCAAGTACTATATCACCACGAACCTGGGGGCAAGAGTGTCTAGGCTCAATCCCAGTTGGAATTCAGTTGGTCTGGAACCCGATGTGCAATTTTCCAAGGCCATGGAACTCTGTGGAGAGGAATTCAAGTATCATGTTAATTATGCTGCCAGTGTGTGGCTTCCAGCGAGAGCGATTGTCAAACAAACTGTCGAAAATAGATTTCAGGTGAGAAAGACTAATAATATCTCTGTTGGTTTTTTTTTATACCAGTTCTGACAAACTAATTCGTTAACATTGGCAAATTGACTAATTACCTCTGGGCTTATCTGTTTTTTACCTTCAATCATTGATTATTGTATTTAGGTTGATCCCAGTGGAGAAATCCTAGAGCTTCCTAAAGCTGTGCCATGGAAAGACATTTATTTCGAGCTGGAGAAAACTTCACCCATTGACCCACTCCCCAAATATGTTATTTTTCAAGACAACAGTTGGCGAGTGCAGGCTATACCTGTCGGTCTCGGAAGCTTCATCTGTCGGTATGAGCAATAATGGCGATTAATTGTGAATTCGTTGATAATTGAAATTTTAATGTCGATAAACTGTTTTGCAGACTTTTTTTGCCTGAAGCCTGGGCAGGTCTGAGGGACGATGAATTAAGTAAAGTATCAGGAATTGAGGATTGTGTTTTTGTCCACTCGGTGCGATTTATCGGAGCGAACAAGACCAGAGCAGGGGCTCTGGCAATGGCAAGGAAAGCTCTACAAATAGGAAAATGTCAATCCAGCGAGTAGATGAATTTTAAACAATTGTCACCTGTCTGATTGCTTCAAGCAAATAAATCAATATTTTTCAAAAAAAAATAATACATTTTATTTCAAAAAACAAATCAAACATTTCGTATCTTTAGACAGTAGTAAAAAATGTGCACGGGGGAGTTTAGTAGTGATGGACTGGGGCAGCCGCTGCGTGGTAAGCAGCGTAGTGTGCAGCTTTGGCGTGAGCTACTTCAGGAGTATCTACGACACGTCCATCGTGTCCAAGCGGGGCAGGCTTGTAGTGTCCATAGGAATATGCAGGAGAATAGTGGTATTCCACGGCGTCATAGCCATGGCCGTAGGAAGCTTTGGCTGCCTCCTGAAAAATAAGAGAATCCCAATTATTCATTAAGTCTTTCCTTTTTAAAATTCAAAATTTTATAACCCTTGCCTTCAGTCCTTCCTTCAATTGGAAGGAGATGAAACAAGGCAAAAGAGGAAGAAGAAACTTGTGAATTTAAAAGAATTATAGGAATTTTTATTAGATGTATTTGAGAAAGTAAAAGGAGAAATGTGTCAGGTAATAATGATTCATTTAACAAACCTGCGCATGAGCTTGAAGATGGGCAGCTCTGAGGTGAGCAACCTCTGGTGTCTCAACGACTCTTCCATCGTGACCAAGAGGAGCTGGGGGTCCGTGGTACTTGATGTTGTCGTGGTGTCCACCGTATGATACCTCTGGAGCATATCCTGGACCATAGCCATAGCTCAGGGCGTGTTTGGATGCTTCCTTGGCATGAGCTGCCAAGTGCTCTGCTTTAGCATGAGCTACTTCAGGAGTATCAACCACTCTTCCATCGTGTCCAAGTGGTGCATAACCGTACAGATATCCGGGTGAAGCCAAGGAAGTGGCGACAGTAGCCAACAGGATGATCTGCAATCAAGGAAAACAAAGATAAATAAATTAATTAATTAAAAATCATTAGTTCTCCCTTAATGGTCTCTTTTTCACTCATTTATCCTATTTGACTGCAAAAACACATCACTTGCACTGATGTGGGGAAAACTCGGTATTGCGGTGCACGTGCAGTTGAAAGTGACACACATTTTCCCTTTTTCCCGCCTCATGATTGTGTTTTTAATTTACGAGTCATCAACGTTTTCACCGTGCAAAAGTAAATCTGTTTTTCCACGATTACGGAAGATTTATCATTTTTTAATAACTTTGGAGAGTGAAACTATACTACTTACAAATGCCTTCATTGTTTATTATTATTAACCGAAAGTTTTGAAAAATGGATTTATGAAATTTAATGTCTGTGCCGCTGGGTTTTTCCAGTACTTGCTGACAGTGCTGACTGTTGTGCTGTACCAAGGTAGTAGCCCCTTTATATATGGCAATCGGGTAGGGAGTTGTTGAAAAACACAAGAGAGTTTACAACCATGGGGGGAAAAATGCGGTGGGGATAATAGGTGGACCCCAAGAAGAGTGATTAAGACCGAAAGGTATATTGACATTGACATTAGACCGTCGGGAAGGGACAGTGGTGTTCATGTACTCGTGTAGATATCGCACTTCTCTCGAACCTTCTTCTTGTGGTACCTAGTTCTGGTACAGCTCTCGGGGCTGTTGACTGACGAGGTCAGGATAACGCAGTGGGAAAGGGCTCTCACTTTTTCTCGAGACTTCCATCGCTTTTCACATTTCGAAATGCTAACCCATTTCAGCATTGAAATGAGACACGTACAATTCAAACTCGGTTTCGTTCCTCTATATGATGCATTAAGGTGTTTGCATCATTCAAACTTTGGGGTTCATTAATATTGGATTATAATGGTGAAGAGTTTGTTCATTTCATTTAACATTTTTATTTCGTCTGTTCTGGTTTGATATTTTATTTATAGTTTCATAATTCAATCAGACCTAGATGACGAGAAGAGTTTTAGTTTTGTTGAATAATCAACAGTTATTCAATTACTATTCAATTATAATGAAGATGATGATGATGATGTAAATATCACGAGTAATAGATATCAGGGTATGATGGGGTATTCTGCAAATCATTTCAAGATAGAAATAGTGGCTTGAATAGTGAGAGATAGTTTATGAAACTTGTGGGGACAGGGGAAATGTCTATCCAGAGTGACATGTTACATATACGTTAACGAAAATATCGTAATGCCTCATAGATTTATGAATTTCTTTTCATCAGTGGTGAGTGAAATTCTCCCTTAAGAATGCTCTGCCTTTTTTTAAGGGAAATTACCGGTTTTTTAAGGTTTCTACATTTCATCATTATTTCATTCAATCCTTTTCCTGTAGTTTTGCGCGATCATGGCATTTTGAAAGTTATTAAACAATTATAGGATTCATAATATATATTTTTTTGTGTCGATTGGTTCAGCAATTTGTGGGAAAAACCAAAAAGCCGGTAATTTTGGATAAAAGAAGACAGAGCATTCTCAATGATGTTTAACACATTTCGATCCAAAATTCACGTCTTTCTCATTTTCGAAAAAATATAACGTTTTTGCGTTATGTCATTATCTAACGGCCCACGAAGTCCCGTGATGGTGCGATAATTGTCCCTTTTATTCTAAAATTCTACGATTTTTTTCAAAGTTTAGAAAAAATGCAGGAAAATGTTCGCCACCTTGAAACTTCGTGAGTCATATCATAAATAGCAAAACGCCGAAACGTTAGATTTTTTCAGGTCAATTCCATGATAAGTTTGCCATGATTGGCAAAAAAACGTGAATTTGTGTGGAAAGGGTGCAAAATAGTCTTAATTCCAGATAACTCCAGTTATTCGATCTGTAGACTAGAGTACGCACGTCCTCATTATGGAAAGAGCGCACGCTGCATGTCACCTAAACTTGAAAAGCTCAACTCATTCACCGGTTACCTCATTATTATAACAATTTTTCAACTCTCATTTAATCTCACACACAAGCTGAACTGAAGCGTCATGCAACGAACGCGTAGGATTGAGGACTCAGCGTATGCCTTTCCTTCTGGGCGAGTCTTGTGGGCGTTATAATGGAACCACTAGTTTTTATTTCGCGATGAGGTAATCACGCGACCTACCCGTCGTAACAATTTTACATCGTAACAAGGAATTTGAGTTTTTCCTTTTTCATCATCTCCATTTTATTTTTCCATCGAATACCCTTCCTTATGTTGTGTGTATTCAATTATTCATACCGATTATCGGTACTAACTTCTGACGTTACGAAATTGTAATGTGAAAACTATGGATTAACCGTAATACCTGCACGCAAACTTGTTTTTAATGGTGTGCAGTACAATTACGAGGTGAATCTCGCCTGCACTCTGTTTACACTCAAAATATGGGGCATCTCATCCTCGATGTTTGTTTCTACCTCTTTTTATCATTGTTTATTGCTATTATTTTTCGCTGGCTATGGTTGCACCATCCAGCGATCATCAGGGCGTGTCCATCTGGGCTCAAGCTGCGGCTCGAAAATCCCAAGTCCAAGTGTTTGTAATGATAGATTGTTCTCAATATCGGTCAACCAGACTCTCGAACAATTATTATTTTATCGTCTCTACGGGGGATTACACACCCGGCACACCCGGGACGCTACCCTCAATTTACTTGGGAAGCAACGGATAATTTTCAATCATTTGATGGATTAATGAAAAAATGAGAAAATTGAAAGAGTACAATAGCGAGGCGGATCACTCAAATTTTCATTCATAAATGCAATAAGATGGCTGCAAGCCAAGGTGTGCCCCAGCTATGTCAGGGTACAGAGGCGGATATCACTCTGGAATTTCTATTGTATCAGTTGTCGCATAGATTGCAGGATATGTGTATAAAATCCATGAAGTATCGATCCTGTCGAGCCTTTGACTTTTCATATGATTTTTTTTTTTCTTTACATTTTATCACTTCCTCCATTCTTTTCGCCTTCTCCATTCATCCACTCTCTGGCCGATTCCCTATAATTTGAATTCCATTTTTTTCGTCATCATTTATTTCTTTATGCATTTACAATTCATCCTGTTGTGGAATTCTTTGTAACTGTCGCTAGTCATATTTCGAGTGGTCTCTCAAATTTTTAATCGAAAACCTCAGTCTTAAAGTTTCTTAACAGCCGTTTGCGGTTACCCACTGTCCGTTACGTATTGTCACTTCGAAATATATTGATAAACATTTGTCATTCTTTATTTTTTATTCTGTAATAACTTGTCTGCTATGGGTTTAGAATTATTCTACGGGGTAGTGTAGGAATTAATATTCATTATAAAAAGTTATTCATTGACAATCTCTGTAATTTCAGTGTACTAGTAAAACTGAACAGAAAATTAAATCCCAAGATTTGAATTTTAATCGTGTGAATATTTATTCCTTCATATTGCGCTAGGATATTTCTCAATATTTCATCTACTTGTTATCATTCAATCATTCATTCAATCACATATTACGAAATTATTACATCGTCTGTGACAAATGTTGAAAAATTGGGTGAGGAATGAGCGGTCTATCTCGTTAAAAATGGATCAGTCCAGTTATTCAACGACTAAAAAAAGAATTAATTGAACCATAAAATTAACGCACTGGCATTTCGAAAGGACAATTGATAGATATCATTTTTTAGAGATCAGCACTATTATACAACATCATTTTAACACCAAGTAGCGATAATGCTCACGTACATTGTTTTGCAATATCTGAATTCCAATCATTGTCTTACGACACCTGCCACACTAAATGATTGGGCTGAATCCTGCGTAATCTGTCGAATTATAGGTCAGGATTGTTGTCTCGATCTGCCAATCATGGAGAAATCTATTAGCATAACAATAAGGATCATCATCAAGCAGGTGATGGTCATGTTTTCCCTGGGTCTCAATCCTCGCATGCGTTCCTGCTAACAGGATTCGTCGCGTGCGTGTTCTCTTGGCCAGTGAACCAGAACACATAACTTGCGACACTTGCAGACAATTGCCAGTATTTTATATTTCATTTTCTCTTTTCTCCCATCCAGGCGATAACCTCAGCGTTAATTCCCTCCTTTTATTAACACAAAGAAAGAAAATAGAACAAATGACGAGAATTCAATACCGAAAAGGATAAGGGCAATAAATCCATTCTGACTGATGAATTTCCGAGAAATATCCCACAATCTATGAGACATATGAAAATTTTTATAAAAACCTTTTTTATGGAGGGAAATGAGAGCTGCAAGAAAGGCTTTAATGAAAATTTTGCTATCTCTATTGGTTTCAGAGATATTTCTTCGGGAAGTTATCAAGTTAATTCATCAGCGTTTGTCAATGCAATTTCCTGTCGTGATTAGTTCGACAATGCAAAAATACTCAGACATCATATCAGATCATTAGTATTTTAAATGTCAATGTTAATGACTAGAACGTTCTGGTTGTGGTAGGGGAGAGGGAATGCAAAATAATAGAGAATACATGTGACTGATAGAAATAAAAATGCCCGAGGTTATCTACATGACAACGGTTAAATGTTACGGGGGTAGGGTAGTAGGAAGGAGATCACATAGTCTGTTGGGTGTGTCGCCAATATCTTTCAACAGGGTGGGGCAATTCATTGGGAATCTCTATAAATTGAACGATCCGTTGTTGAGAGAAGTCATGCGGACGTTGTGGTTGCAGCTATGGTTATCATCGATTCAGAGAACTCAACGAAAATGTTCCGCTTCGTAAGTATCCCTCGAGTAATAATGTACTGTTATTCCAAGATTCTACTCCAAAATTCTATTCCAAGATTCTACCTCTTGGTTGCCTGATTGCGGTTGCCCTTGGTGAACCCCAATGGGGATATGGTGCACCCTACGCCGGTCATCATGGTGCTGCACCTCTTGGAGCTGATGGCAGGGTAGTGGACACCCCTGAGGTTCAGGCTGCCAAGGCCTCGCATTTGGCAGCTCTTGCTGATGCATCTGCGAGGGTTGGTGCCCCTCATGCTCCAGGTGCCTATGGAGCACCAGCTGGCGCTTGGAATCCCGGATGGAATGGAGCACCAGCTCCCTATGCCCACGGCGCACAGTATGCAACACGTTATCAGTACGCTGATATGACATATTCATTCTGATGCTTAAATTATCATGTGCCATTCCCATATTCATTACGCGCCTCGTCTTACAGTGCCCTGAGGAAAATCAATTATTTTTATCAATTGAATTCAATAGTGTCAAAGAAATTTGTTGGAGGGAGTTTTACGGCTGATCTAATGGATTCTAGGTGTATTTGAGTGGTGAAAATAATTGACTTTCTCAGTGTGGAGAACATTTGATTTTAATTGGATCGTCTCCCATGAATTATTTTTTCAGCGGTCCCCCAGCTCCTCTTGGTCCAGATGGAAGGGTAGTTGACACCCCTGAAGTTGCTGCAGCTAAGGCTCATCACTTCTCGCTGTACAATGCTGTCGCACAGCACGCTCCTGCTGGACCAGTTGCTCCTGCTACTTCTCCTGGTCATTATGACTCTGGGGCATACAACCCAGCCTGGGACAGCCCGTCATACGATGGCTCGTGGAATGGTCATAACTATTAAAACGTCCCCTGCGCTATAAACCTTTCGAAAAATATATAAAGAAATGACAATAACAGAACAATTGTTTATATTCTCATGAGATACTTCATATATGCTTATGCAAAGTATAAATGGAGAACATATGCGAAATATTTTGTAAATAATTGGATCAATTTGGGATATTTCGATATATATATTTCGAAATATATCTGGGTTCTGGTCCAATGACTGCTGGAACTAGACTCTACCTCAAATGAAAACCCGACTGGTATTTCCAATCAGTATGATCTCTATTTTCAAAATCCCAGAAATATTACGAGCAGAATTATTATTTCCTCTGTGAATCGTGAAAATCAGTAGCTGAATCACAGCGAACTTCTCGATTTTCCATATGAAACGTGGATTATGCCAGGATATTACTATTCTTATTGTGATCAATGAAACGTAAATAAAACGAATGCATTTATCTGATTGTAAGTTTGTGCATAATTTATTGAGAAGGCGCGGTGAGTTACACGTCATGGTCAGTTCACAGGTCACCACGGTCACTTGACATTGTGGAAGTTGGAATTTTATGCTTCCATGGCACACTGGCACTTATCGATCAGGGGAGCACGGCAGTTATTGCATTTTACAAGGTCGCACGTACCTCGGCCTAAGATGGAATGTTTCCAGCTGCTTCTGCTCTACCCCGTCCCTGCCATAAAGACTTTCTCGTATTCTGCATATAGCGTTTTCATATCTCTAAATAAACGTCGAGAAATATTCAGTAGGACGAAACTACTGGAAGAATCGAATCATTTCACCCACCAAATACTGATTTCGCTTATTTGCGGATTTATTTTTTTACTAGATAATAAATCCTTCGAGCGCAGAGAAAATGGGAAAACAAATTTGTTTTATCATCCCGGACTCAGAAGCTTATAACGCTCTTTCTATGCATGTAACAAAAATTTATATACATAAATAATTATCGCATGATCATTATTTTTTGAAAAGTCGTTCTCCATCTCAACAGTGGCAATTGTCATTGATGCGCTGTACCTCAGCGAGTGCAGCAGCATGAACGCGAAAATGCGCGGCTTTGGCCTCGGCAACTTCCTTGGTATCGATGACAGTACCATCAGATGCAAGTGGTGCCGATGGGCCACGATACGCCGATGTTTTATGGGGAATTGTGTGGGTGACGTGAGAAGGTACCAGGAGTAAGTGATTAGCATCAGTGTCATCCTCCCAAACAATTGCAGCCTCGGGGTACGCTGCAGCAATTTTTTTCACCGCCTCAGCATGAGTGGCCAGATGAGCGGCCTTGGCCCGTGCAACCTTTTCAATGGAAATGGGATTGACCACTTTTTTATTTATTTTTATTCACCTGGAAAAGAGTGATAACTCCTCACCTCTATTGTGTCAACGACACGACCATCTTCGCCCAAGGGCGCTGGATCGTGGGCACCTGTCTGCTCTTCCTTGGACTCAGATGAATTGTCATTTTCCACTGACTCGTCATTTCTCATTTCTTCCTTAGAGTGATACGATGATAATGCTGATGCGTACGCAGATAAGTGCGCTGCTCTTGCGTGGGCGACTTCCGGTGTTTCTATCACTCTACCATCACTCGATAGTGGAGCAAATGGTCCATGATATCCGTAAAACCCAATGTGCCCGAAGGAACCGGATGTCAGTGCAATCAGCAGAGAAAAAATCACCTAGATCCAGATTGTCCAAATCAACAAAAATTTTCACATCCAAAAATCCACAATATTCGATTTTTCTATTGATTTCCTTCGGTTAAATATTTTTTTCATTTTATTTATGCAGGAGGAAAAATAAATTTGTGGAGAATTGAAAATTAAAACCGAAGAAATGTACAGAAAAATTGTGTGACACATATAGAAGAATGAGATAATTAATTAATTATTAAATCATTAGATACTTGCGAGAAATATTGTCATGTTGATTTTCGCTGACAGTTAACGAATGACAGTTTGACTGAAGAGTGCCTCTGCCCCAGGGTCTTGGGACCTTTTATATCATCATGTATTGCCACCTGATCATCAATACCGCAGAGTAAAAAAATACTCTTATTACTGGATTATCTTTAGTCATTACTTCTCCGCTATCGTCTCCCTCTTTATTTCAGCCTCAGAGAGATCATTACCTAAAGAGCAATCGAACGGTAGCGACATTACAGTTAGATCAAGTAATTGTTTTTATGCGTGGTTTCAATACTAAATGAAAATTGATAAGTCTTAGGTATTTGCGGATTAGGATCACTTCAAGGCGATCTTCTCCTCGCGACGTATCATTTGACATCATCAGTCCATCAATGTCGAATTTATTTCAATAAAAAATGAATATGAAAATCGTTAATCAGCGGTTGCAGCGGCGAAATACTTTTGTTAACGTCATAGTTCTGGAATAATACGGTGACCTTTTCAGTTGAGAGCTAATCCTGATGCCCGAGATGCTGCCATAAACCGTTTCTCGTGACCTATTTCGCAATGCACAAAGTGTCTTACATCTCGATACAATTGCCCCCCCCCCCCCCCCACACAATGTGCATATCAAAATATTCTTCCGCTTTCGTTCAACGTTATAACGTAATCCAACGTATGACTGAATCATAACTATTATTTTTCTTCTCCATTGCCTCCAACAAGTTGCGCGATTATTGTCCGTGGTTTATGACAGATTAAATATTTTGTTCACCATTTTGAAACCGCGGCTTTTACCACCCGCAATATATTTTTCGTGGATATTCACCTTTTCTATTTCATCATAAATTATAAATTATCTTCAATCTGAAATTAACAGATGGAATTTCTTTCACAGGGGAGGAAACAAATTGATGGATAAAACGCAAGATTCGTAGAAAATGAAATTTATTATTGGCCTAAATTATTTACAATTCGGATTGATTGGGAGAAAACAAGATGGATAGGATAAAAAATACAAACAAAAACAGGAAATAATCATTCTGTTTGCGTTCTTGTTTAATACGATCCTAGGAGGTGTTGCGATTGATAATTCGGGCCAGGCTGATATGCGGCTTTTCCGAATCCCGAATACGCCTGGGGTGCCGTATAACCTGGATTGTAGTGTTGGGGAGCACCATAAGCTGTAAAGTATAATTATATATTTTAAAAATTAGCCTAGCCCTATCACCTATCAATCTCAGAAGCTATCGATTCTCTGACGAAAATGCCTTCCCAGCAATTTAATAAGTTGCGCAAAAAGTCTTGAACGTTGAAAACCGATAATTTAACAGATTTAACGATTTAATAATTATAATTTTTAATTTTTTTAAGACTATAGTACCAGGTTCGCCTTGGGGTCCTGCATTTTTGTAAGCCCTGGCTTCCGCCTCAGCCAATTCAGCGAGTCTGGAGGCCTTGAGGGCAGCTACCTCAGGAGTATCAATGACAGTTCCATCTTCAGCGAGTGGGGCAGGTTGGAATGGCTGTTTGCTTGGTACAGAGTAATGAGAATGCTGCTGACGGAGATAATTAGCTGCTGGCGGTGCTGGTGAGAAATGCTGGGGTGCAGGTCGGTATTGTGAAACGGGAACAGGAGCGGGGGCAGGGTGAGAATAGGCTTGGTGGATTGGATAGGATGGCCCTGATGGGGATGATTCGGGGTAGTGATCCTTCTGCTGGGCTGCACGTTGTGCTGCTCTGCTGAATTCGGCGAAGTGCGCGGCTTTTGCGTGTTGGACTTCCGGGGTGTCAATGACATTTCCGTCCGGTCCAACTGGCGCTGGGGGCTCGAATTTCGCCTGATGATATTCCGCACCATAACCCGGGTACTGAGCCTGGCAAGCCACCGCCATCGCCACGACAATTATCTATTAATAAAATAAAAATTACAACGATAATTCAGAGACATTGATGCGTGTGCAGGAAGCATTTCGGCGGAGAGGGCCACACGCGCGAAATTCAATAAAAAATATTTCAAAGGAAAATCGAGAATAGACCAGAAATCGAAATTTTCAATCCAATTATAGAACTCTATTTTTTTTAAATAACAAATTGCAGTAACGGAAATGAAGATAATTTGAAAAAGACGAAGAGATGGAATTGTTGAAAAAATGTTTGGATGGAATCAGTTGTTAGGAAAAATAGAATTCTATTGCATTTTTATTGTGAATACTTTCTATTAAACATTTGAGAAGATTTTTTTCATACGTTGAGACTGAACAACTCACCAGACGATTCATTTTGTGAATTTTAATGAAGACAATGCGCTGCTGGATAATAACCAGTACTCGCCGGGTTTTCCGTAATCCAAATCCTACGAAGCCTCAATAGCGTTTGTCTTCCTGGTGAATGGTTCTACATTTATATAGGACTGCCTCCCCGCTCTTTACCTTTATGTTTTCCCCCCTCGAGACTCTCAAACACCCGCTTTTCATCAGGGCCTGTGTGTTATGTGCACTAGCAGACATCGGCTTGGGATCGGTTTGAAAATTTCATGGGAGTTTATTGTAGGACTTGTATAGTTCGCCTTGGTGTGCCACGCCCGCTCTCTTTTTCACCCGTACCTCCCTTTTTACTGTATCCCTATGCATGGCCTTGACATTTTCATCTCATGAGAGAACCCTGAATCGGCCAATGCCCATTCGTATCAAGTTCATTTCATACTTCCATTAACTCCTTATCTATCGCATATCTAGATCAAAACATTTTCCGCTTATTCCGTATATTATATACATCTCAATAATATATCACATATATCACAGTGAAATGATTGATTGGATCTTGAATTTCAGCCACGGAGAAAACATTCTATTTGTCATTCCTTTCATTTTTCAAGTGTTCAATCGATCCCTTCGTCATGAAATTTCCGTTTGATGTATAACTTTTCCTTCCGGTAGGTGGGATTTTTCAATTTCATCCTTTAGAATTCTACCTAAAGAAATTCCTTTTTAGAATGCCATAATAATTAGTCTCTCGATGTCAAATGATTTAGGAGAAATGTATTTTGCGCTCATTACGAATCAGTGACAAATGGCGATAATGTGAGAGTGTCAATGCATAATTAATAGTGTATTACAATTACACTTTTCGGACTTGAACAATAATCAAGACACTGAGTTAGTTCAGTGACGCCATGACAAATAGATAATGACACTGGAAAGCAGTGGCTACCGACCCGAGTGCTGCATTACCACATCCTAGACATAGGTGCACACCCGTGTCAATTGGGTCGCGATTGTTAGCAGATCCGTGGTCCTTGATTGATAATTTCCTCTCGTGTTTCTATTTGCTACTACAGTAGTTTCACGGGAGAGATGGAGAGTGTGGGCCAACACTTTCTAAACTTTTTCGTGGGTTCAACTGGTGGGGATAATACGATACAATAAACTCATGTAATCAAAGAAACAAACATTGCCATAAAATTTATCAAAAGTTTTATTGATTTTTTTCTGTGATTTCCACCATTTAATCATTCATCAGATGAACAATTTTTTCTCAATAAATGATGTGAGGTATATGAACTATTTAATAATAGTACTGGACTGATGGGGATGAGAGGTAGAGGTAATTATCGTTATTCTCGAGTTTAGCATTGATGTGAGCAGCTGCGTGTTCGGCTTTGGCAAGAGCAACTTCGGGGGTGTCTACAACTCTTCCATCAAGACCGATTGGAGCACCAGATTGGGCTTTGGTGATAACTGGCAGCGGAGAGACAATAGCTGGGGCAATGATTGGGCTGGTGTAAGTAGCAATTGGGGAAGTGCTTCGGAGTTGTTCGTTGAGATGAGCAGCTGCATGTTCAGCCTTAGCCAAAGAGACCTCAGGAGTGTCAACGACGCGTCCATCGACCCCCAGAGGAGCACCTGCAGTCACCCCCAACCTGGCGATTGCTGGTTGAATCACAACTGCTTCTGAGGCTGCGGCTGCGTGATTCAATCGTTCGTTAATGTGAGCTGCTGCATGTTCAGCTTTAGCGTAAGCCACAGCTGGAGTGTCAACGACTCTTCCGTCGAGACCAATGGGAGCTCCAGCCTCCAATTTGGCGTAAACCAACGGTAGACCGTAGGCCAGTGGTGCTGATGCTCGGGCGACGCCGAAAATGCAGAGAATAACAGCCTGTGGATTTGAAATCAGGGATGAATAGTTGAAGAGTAATGAGATTTTTCAGACTTACGATAGTCTTCATGGTGATGATTTGGATTAGCTACTCAAGCGCTGCTGTTGATAATCAGTACTCGCTGAGAAACTGTTACAATTCTGACAAAACCTCAGCTTTATATACATCCAAGACACTGAATTCCACTCTGCCCGACATTGAAAATTCTGTGCCTCAGGCGATGTATAGGAATATCGCTGTGCCCTTGGTTCAATCCCAATTGAAATAGTCTGGGTCGTTAAATTGCCACATTCTCTCTCCCTTAATTCATCAAAATATACACGTATACTGAGCGTCCTTGGATCAAGCACGAAATCATTAAGAGATGTATGAAAAAGTTCTGTAGAAAAACACTAGCGCTTTCCGTAAAAATCATGAGGAATTTATTGTCGAATTAATGAATTCTATTAATGAAGAATTACAGTTCTTCGCAAGTCGTCGCAATCGTTTTTTTCTTTATTGAAAGGGATCATCTTCTGGGAAACTGATTTCAATAATAATTTTGAATGTTAATTAATAAAAATTATAATAACATTATGCGGTCAACCTTACCTTGACTTAGCGCTTGGAAATCGAACACCGGATTACCGTAAGTGAATCCGATATTCATATTATATTTCGAGACAGACCAGACAAGCAACGGATGGCTATAAAAGTGAATCCTGTGATAGCATAGTTGATAGTTTTCCTGTGTCGAGAACAATGAAAACATTGATTGTGCTTGCAGTATTGCTGGCTGTTGCCTCGGCATCACCAACTTTGATTGCAACTCCGATAGTGTTAGCAAGACTCAATCCCCCAGTCCTTGGTGCACCCCTGGGTCCTGATGGACGAGTAGTGGACACCACCGAGGTGGCGATTGCCAAAGTGGAGCATGAAGCTGCCCAGAATAATCAACGGGAGCTACTTGCAGCTGCAGGTGCTGGAGCTACTGATAATTCAGATGAAGCTCCAATTGGTTCAGACGGTAGAGTCATTGACACAGCTGAAGTCGCCCTTGCCAAGGTTCAACACGCCAACGCCCAACTTGCTGAGAAGGTCCATCACGTCGCAGCTGTAAATCCAGGGTCTTCATTGATCGCTGTTGCTTCAGCCCAGAGCACTCCCCTCATCGCATTGGATGGAATTCTGTACTAAATTTCATTGGATTTTCTGTGCACAACTCCTTGCTGAATCTGCCCCTGAGAGTCTTGATTTTTCTTTATCGATTATCTATCACGACCTGTTCTCTTCTATCTGTCATGTTTTATGTCAAATTGTTTTTATCTACAATGTATTTTTCAAACGCAAATCAGTCAAATAAATTCTGGTTATTGTCATTGCTACTTGCCGCCATGAACTTGAGATAATCATTTATCCTGTTGGTTAATTTATTTGCTTGTTCATTTATTCGCACTTCGACATAATTGATGCTAGAAATGGTTTGACTAATCTAGATTTTCAGGAGTCAAATGCAGCAAAGATAATTTAGAGTAAAGCAGTGAGTGTTTCTCCCTTGATCTTTTTATTATTATTACTCCAGTTTTTATTGTTATTTTTTTCGTCAATTTGTTTGGTGGCAACGGCCGACAGTATTGGGAGAATTTGAAAATATTAAACAGGCTAACGCTATGACAAAGGCGGCCTCGCTGGAAAAACCAGTTCCAAGTGATGATTTTTCTTGGTGCTGGAGGTAGTATATAAACTCCATGGATCAAGTTCGAGGGCATCCTGCTTTTCAAGAGATCTCACTGAGTGGTTGTATCGACAGAAAGCCTGAGAATGTTGGCAAGTATTACCTTCCCGGATCATAAAATCTAAAAAACTAAAATCCGATTTTCTGTTAAAATAAAATAATCCCTTGGAATGTTTCAGGGACTGATTTTATTGATCTTGTACCTAGCATCAGGGATTTCCGGACTGCCAGGGGGAATCCTATCAGAATATCAAGACAGTCTCGGTCAATACAGTTTCGGTTACAGTACCCCAGAATCCGCAAGATCAGAAATGAGATCGGCAGATGGGAAAACAAGGGGTGCATTTAGCTTCGTAGATGACTCCGGAATCATTCAAACAGCGAAATACACAGCAGACAGCGAGAGTGGTTTCCGTATTGAGGCAACGTACTTACCGGTAGCTCCAAAACCCGTCCAAGATACACCGGAAGTCATTGCTGCACGTGAAGAACACTTCAAGGCAATCGCCGAAGCCGAGGAAATGGCGAGAATTCAGGTGTCAGAAGCCGAACTGATAAATACTGAACCGAAAATGGCAATTCCGAAGAATGACCCCATGGAAGTTATTGTACCGGTTGAAACTCATGATGAAGAGAAGTCAGAACCAGCCGATCAAAAACGAAAACTAATGAAGAACGAGAATAAGGAAGAGCTGACCAAATCGCCGGAGGAGGAGAAAGGCAAGGGATCAGAGAGTTCTCAGGTAATGCTCTTTGAAAAACAATGATGATGATATCTAATGAAGATTAATTAAAACAAAAACAATGAATTATATTGTTAGGAGGCTGTGGGAGCGGGCAGTTTGGCAGTCGTAAAGACCTCCTTTGTTGTACCAACAAGTAATATAAACCTTCAGAGCCGGATTAAACTTGAACCAATGAGGCTCACGTCTATTACACCCTTTACCACATTGCCACAAGGTCAGTGCAAGTATTACTCTCGATGGTATCAATCGTTTCCGATCGGTCTCTTTAACGGGCAATACAAGGGCGCAGGCATAGGCCTTTTTCATTGCTGCTTGGGACGTTGACCCTGTCCTATTATTATTTATAAGGGGTTTATGAAACGTTTGTGAGAGGTTTATGAGAGGTTTATGAGAAGTTTATGAGAGGTTTATGGGAGGTTTGCAATGGGAGTATACATCGATCCAATCGGGTATACGAGAATAATAATTTGTTGTATTACAGATGAAACCTCGGCTAGAAGGGAAAACGTGAGAGGAGCTTCGTCTGCTGTTGTTGGTGTAGATTTCATCAGATATTCACCATATTCAGCTATTTTGGCCTCACCTTATGCAGCCGCTCTTCAGCCTCATTATCATTTTGTTCCCATCGTCACTAAAATCTTTTAAGCCTTTATCAATGCAATTGTATTTGATCGTTTCAATTAATTCGACGTAATAAACTGGATTCATCACCATTGCTGTTTTTCGTTGATCATCTCTGTAGACTTGGTGATACTTTTCTTTTTATTTCCTTTTACAAAAATGAAAGCAAGATGAACAATTGAAATGATTGAGTTCTTTGGGTTTCTCTAATCGATTATAATAGTGTCTACATGGGATTTGGTCTCTCGTGGAGATTTCGATTGATAAAGTATCATTTTTATTAAATAAAATCAATTATATGTGAAATACCAATGGCTCATTAACTCAGAATGGGATATTGACGATTTTTTATAATTAGGTAAGTGAATTATCTTTCTTTTCTGTTATTTGAGTTCACGTTTTTTACTATTCTAATGCTAAATGTCCGAAATAGTAGTTCCACGTTTTTGTCTAACAATTGGAATAACTTGACTAAATCATGAACGATCACTTTGCTAATAATGATAGGTCTTTTCGCTTCTGTTTAATTTTCTATCAGATGAACGTGGATTTAAAGACCACGAGATTATTCTTCTAATCACTCTGTTCTTCCTTAAGCAACTTTTCCATTTTTCTTTCTGAGTATTATTCATAAATTTAATTATCGTATGCATTTGGTAATATTAATATTTTTGCATAATGTGTAATATTAATTCTAACACAGTCATAACATTTAGCGTGAACAATTCTTGATTTTTCACGCTCTTGTTATTTTTTTTACAATCATTGAGTTCAAGTTCTTTTTTTTCTCATTAATCCATCAGCTCTAGTCGTTCATTGAGGCGCTGAAAAATAATAAAAAATAATTACCCGACAGAACGAATTGCTCTCCCGTTATTAATCCTAATTTAAACTAATCTGCAAGACGAACCCGTAATTTATTTATTTTTTTTTATATTATATGCACATAACATTAAGTCAACTTATGATTTCATAATCTGTATTGGGCGGTATTATTTTGTTTTCATTTGTCATTTCCTCCTATTTTCTCAGTTTCAGACATGAATGACATTCTGTTCAATTTCTCTAAGGAGGTGAAACAATACATAAATACATTATCATCAAATTGAAAAAAAAAGAAAGACTTTTTCATCTGATTTTCCGTCGTCGTCCCTCCCTGTAATCACCTTTTCAACATGTCCAAACCAAGTATTTTCCATTCTTAAAATATATACAGGTAAATAATGTTATATCGTGTGAACCGCCAAGATGTAGGCATAAAAACTTTTCAACGTTTCAACCTATCTGCTAAGCCGTTAATAGTAATTGTTCCTATGCTTTTATCAATTCAGTGATTAATGCTTTGTTGATATCTGTAGATTCAGCATTTGACGTCTATTGAAAATTGACGCTATGTCCCTAATTAGTAATATGAATATTAGATTTATCTTAATTCTCAAATTGACCTCTGCTCTTCAAATTCAATAATTATACCGTTAATTGTTTTGTCCTTATTTTTCCACTAGGTGATAAACTTAATGATTCATTCACACATCATTCATTCACAATCCTTTATATTTGTCAGTTAATTTAATATATCGGTCTGTCAGTGGATATTTTTTATTTGTTGCAACGGAAGCAACACTGATTTCGAATTTACAATTCACCTGATTGATTTTCAATTAACCTCTACTAATCATCCATTAATTATTATTTCCTCTTTGTTAATATGACTCCCTCAGAATGAATAATCTTGTTGAGTGGGTGTGTGTCTGTGTTTTCTGCACATTTTCAATTATCTTTTTACTCTTACATCGATAAAAAGTGTAATGAACTGATGGAAACAGAAAAATCGAAACAGCTCTACAACGCCTCGCATTGTTTTTATTCGACTAATAAATAATAAACTGAGAAACCCAGTGAGACGAAAACGAAATATTATGAAATAAATAAAACAATTACGTGAGACAGGAAAACCGGTATATCCGTAGTACATTGCCATTATTCAATGCGTTCATAATTTTCCTCTATTTTCCACATTATAAAAATAATTATCTTCCCAGTGTTACACATCTTAAATTCTGTCTGCATTATTGAAAATGTTCTAAGCCTTCATCATCTACCTTAATTATTTTTTTTTTCACATTAAAAATTGACTGTTGGAACGTTAAGACTTGGTGAATTCGGATACCATTCACGATTTATCTCGTGCGTTTGATTATTCAATAAATTCAAGTGCACACCCCCGTATTACCGTATGCATCTGATTTTTCGCCCTAGCCATTACTAATTAGCTATCAATAATTCAAAATTCCCACTCAATATCCGTATAAACTATACTCGCTGTCAATTAATTTATAATTTTTCTCTAAATTTCCCGGCAACCTGCCACGTGGGCTCCATTTCTTCAATTATTCACTTGTATTTTCATTCACTTTTTGTATCATATATCATGTGATATTATTATATTAACGAACATATGAGATTTTAATTTGTGTATGGCTCTAAGGCGCACGCGTACACGTGTTATGTGCGTGTCATGGCAAGTAGATAATTTGATAGTAAATTTCAAGGTAAAATACTAGAGCCGTAGGAGTAGAGCCCGTTGGCAGCTGGTTCTTACAAACCAGACAGTCCACCAGTAAAAATTTGAGGTGTAAAGGAAAAATAATGCAAGTCGAGAGATGGAGTGGAAAAAAAAAACATGAAAATAGAAGTAGGTTACAGAAAAACATCAAACATAGAGATAGAGATATAATGTCTCACAGAAAGTTTTAGGCAGAGACTATATTAGGTACATATGATAGAGTTATTACATAACATTTATGAAATAAATATAGAGAGTATAGAGACATGATTGATCAACTAGGGATAACGTATTAGATCAAACTCAAAGGATTGAATCGTGTTGCGTCCATTATGATTACGATATCTGAGAAATTATGCAACTTGTACTCAGCTAGCGACTCGCAAAGCTCGATTGTCACATTTTGGCTTTTATCATCTCTTATTATCATTTTAATCAAATTCATTATAATAACTCAAGTTCTGCGCGTTATCCGTAGTATTGCATGTACATAGAGTTGAGTGATGATTATAATTTAATAACAATCATAAGCTTAAGTATAAAGCCTCTTGAGAGTACAATAATATGTATAGATTCAATAACTTGTATAGACCGGTTCGATCCCTTCTTTCTTTTTAATTAGCTCGGTCTAACGTATTCTTTAGTAATTTTTTTGTTAATACAAGTTGATGACGTTGATCCCATATAATATGTATTTGAACATCTAGGCACAATTCCTAACGATTGCATTCAGTAATGGTTTCTTTTTTTCACTTTTTTTTGCGTCTTCATTGAGATATAATTTTGTTGTAGACTCATTTCATTTCCTCGTGCGTTCACCCGAGGGAAATTTATACAACTCTCACGGATTTTTATCAATCAGTGTTTACATCTGAATTTGTGAGATGTATCTTAGAGAAATTTAGCAATGACTCTTGTCTCTTGAAACCCAGAGATAGATTTAGAGGAATTATGAAATAAGGGAAAACAATGAACACGGGAGAATTCTGTAATTATTTTTGTCTTTACAAATTCTCTCCCAACAATAATGTAAAGTAAATGAGGATTTATAATAGTAATAGTGAAAATCGACGGAAGATATGAAAAATAGATGGGGAAAAGAATTGTGTGATAATTGACGGTTCGCAATTGAAATGATTGACAATTCGTATCAATGGAGGAAGAATTGTTTCCAGATAGATCTAACGACAATTAAAAAAGAAAGTTTGAGCTCTCCCATTACATTCATTATAAGTGTAGACTAAAATGGAAAGATTATGAAAAAAAAGTAGATCACGAGTGCAATATCATCAGAGGAAGGATAATGGAGATGAAAAATGAGTGAATCGGTCGTGTATTTTACGCGTACGCCTCGTGTTACTGTGGGCTTCATAGAAAATCAGAATCGAGATAACGTAGTCTCTTTATTATCATAAAACTGTACTGTTATGTGCCTTTCTCAAATGTTCAGAATCTTTTTGTCGTCTTTCAAGTGAAAAAAAAAAATATAAAAAAAACTTCCACGAATTTCCCAATACGTCAGTGGTCCCCCCAATCACATGCCTTAGTGAGATTTCTCAATCTCCCCCCCAATTTAAAAATGTACAATTTTATAATAATTAAACGTCCTCAATGAGCATGTGCAATACCCACATTTCGCGTGCTGCGCGTTAACACTTTCGTTGCGAGAGGTACATATGTATTCTTTTATTTTAAAATCTTTATATGTTTTACTCTTCTCCCTCTCTGTCTCTCATTTATAATAAAGTACACGCTTTTGTTTCTCAGAATGTTTTTTGAATTTCACTTTTTTTCTTTTATGACTAACCCTAATAAACATACTAAGAGCTTAACCGTAAAACGCCCGCTCGGACAATTATTTCTCTTTTTGTTAAAAAATGATTTGTCTTGCCGGAGCTGAGCTGATTGTGATTTGCAACGCAATTCCTGGCCCAATAATTGGTTTCTTCTTTTAATTTCAACATATGTATTTTTTTAGTTTTTTATTTTATTTTTTGTTCATTATCCAATAGACAATGTTGATGGCCAAAATCCCCAGGGGCATCGCTGATACATTTCTCTTGCGGAAAAACATTCCTGTCTCAAATATTTCGTTTTTTTAAAACTAATTTGAGGGGAAAGTTCATTAGAAATAATCAGCGATGGGTCAAGGGGATTGATCAGCCTATCGGGGCACGTTAGAACGGAAGGGCAACAGGGAGAGTGAAAAAAAACGGTAAGGACCGGAGACACGTTGGTGATACTTGTACATATACGTATTCTTAAAAAGTGTCGAATGAGAGAATTGTTCGAAAAATTCAAGAGATTTGTCAGAGTCAAAGGCAAGAATTGAATGAGTGAGTGGTGCGTGGCAGCTTGAACATTCTTTTAGGGTTTTTCTCTAGTCAATTGGTTGATAGAGAGTGATTGTCTTTAATTATACACATTTGTATTTCCAGAGTTTGGAAATAATAAATCCATTCCATTACTTTATTATATCGCATTCTTCACTAGTTAAATCCTAAAACTCTACAATTTATGCGTCCTTCTTTTCTCCTCTTACTTCTTAACATTATCGAAAAAAGTGAGGCTCCGGGAAAAGTCTTATGAAAACCCGGTGGAATTGCTCAAATTGTACATTTATCTAGTTATATCGCATGATTTTTCTGGAAAAAAATTCTAGATTAACTATCTCTCTTTATATCACTTTCTTTTTCATTAATTCCAACACCGATACAGAGACATTGATTGATTTATAAGTATAGAATTGGCAATATAGACGATATTTGTTACGGAATTGTCTTCTTAATATATAATAATATATTCTCTTCTTTTGTCGCTAAACCGAAGCCGACACCCAAAACTCCACGAATCACAGTGCCCCGTGCTCAATTCACTAATATAATTAGCCTCTTATATATTGCTAAAATCAACTAAACTTCAAAATTAATCATTCATTAACTTTTCTCCCAGATTCATCTTCCTGAAAGTGATCAACGATCAACGTTCACTCAAAAAGAATTTCCACCAGTAAAACCTGAAATTATCCTATTTGATTTATCAAACATTGACAATTGAAATAAACAAAACGTTTCAATATAATTTTCAAGTAATAAGAATTTCCAAATAGTTTAAATGACGCCACAATTTAAACCCTGGGTACTTGAAGCTTCTCAAATACAGTGTCCAATCGAATGTTAAATTTACTTGATATACTGATGTTATACAATATTTTCATTTTCATTAATTTACCTTTGTCTCTAAACTTATTTTTCTGTTGCTATTTATATTATGGTACCCTGACTTGGAACTGGGAACCAACCTGTTGAGGCAAATTGATTTTACTAATTCCTTTCATTGGTTGCTGTCAGTCAAATAACATGCGTTTATGAATAGTAACACGATAATCCGAGCAATTACATTCTATACAATATAATGCTTGCTCCTTTGGTTTTATCTACTCATTTAATGTGATAATTCATGCTGTCCTTAGCGACTGTTAATAAAATATATATGCATATTCGTATTACTGAATATACATGTGGCCATGTGATGGCCATTCCGCACCTGAGACGGATTTTACACGTGATTCGCTATGACGCAATCGTAGGGGAAAGGAGATTTGTCGATTTGACAGTGATTTTACTCTGATTTTGTCTGTTCAGCTTCAACGAACTTCATCAATCGCGTGTCATTATTAGTCAGGCCTCAAGGCTGTCGCCTCTTTCATGCGTATTCTCCTATTAAAAGGAAAATCGTTTAGCTCTCCTTTTTCAGTTTGGCTTTAAAAGACCCTGCTGACTGGCCCAACTCTCACCTCGGCCCCCCGTCGATCCAGCTACTTCAGTTCTCCCTTTTTAAATGACACTAAAACTAAATTCACCCAAACTATCAGTACCAAGAATCAAATTATATTCACCTCTTTCCAAGTCTTTAGCATTCATTTTTTATCTATATCCTATTTCATAATTTGATTCAAGGTGTAGTTAAACTGAAAAATTAAAAAAAATTGATGAAAGAAAATCAATAAAATGAATAAATTGTTAACGAAGGATAACGTAGGAAAGAATAAATAGAAAAAACATGTAAAAAAATCAGAATTATTATTTTTCTCGTTCAAATGTTGTTGTTTTTATATAAGGAAGCACCGAAAATTTCAATGACGGCAATAATGATAAAATAATGAATAATGTAATAATAAAATGCAGGCTTAAAAAAATTATCACCGATGTCGGGACACGTAAATCGATTTCAGAAGACCTACAGGAGCAACTTAATAGTAATAATTAAGAGAAGAAAAAATACAACGTACAAATATAACGTTAAAAAAGAGGCAATTCAACTTAACTATTCATAATATACCGCTGGAAGAAATAATACTAGAACAAATGGATTCTTTCTCGTGGGTGTGCGTGTATGAATACTCACTTTTTCCTCATTACTAGTTCAACTCCAAATTAATGTTTTCATTTATCTTTTGTGTTCATGTGAGTGCATGATAGTCCGGTCACGTCCTTCTCTTTTAATGCTATACTTTTGATAGATCTACAAGTGTTGATTAATGAGTACTACTTGATAACTACATTTTTCTTTCTTCATTCAATTAATTGGAGATTCTAAAGACACAAATAATAGATTCAAAGACTGGCCCCTTCGCTCATGCCGGCTGCTGTAAGATGTATTTATCTCCCTCTATTCATTCAGCTATTGCAATTTTTGGTCGTTACACAAATATATAATATTCAAATTCATCGTTACTTCAGTACATTGGGAGACTCATTACCAAGGCATTCCCATGTTATCTCCTGTTATATCTTGATTGAATAATAAGCTTAGTTTGGCACATACACCACTACCTGGGCCGGCACTCGCTTATAATATTATTCTGTTTTTTGTTTTCTCAATAATTTTTTTAAGATTTACGTCTCTTCAAAATCATTCATGCAAAATATTCGCGCTCACACATCATTTACACTGGATGCACGCGGTTGTATCCCGTAATTACAGTACCATTGAAATGTTAATTGACTCCAACAGAACGTCATGTCTAATAGACGAAACGTAGCTAGCTTACTTAGCATTTAGATTTGTATATATAGTTTCTCTTATTTGTGTTTGTTTTCTTTTTCTCTCTCTTCACTGAGTTGACCCGAACTCTCTTCGATTGTCGCAAAAAAGACTTGCATGTTCTCTCTCTCCTTCTACCTTTTTTTTTTGTTGTATTTTCTTTGCTTTTAATATTTTTTTTTTCATATTTTTCATTTTCTAAATTAATGGTTTCACTCGTGGCTATCGATTCCACACCTAAGCCTTTGCTGAATAACTTTGAATGAACTTGTTTTTATTTTACAACGATATTTATCGCACCTTTCTGCATTTTTTTTATTTCTTTATCTTGATAGTTTCGATGAAATGGTATTATGTAGCATTAAAGAATGTAAAACTAGGCCAGTTTGTGAGACTAAATCATAAGTATCTAAATTCGAAGCGTTATTTTATCATGAGTTCTTCCTTCTATCATGTCGTTTCATCATACAATAACTTTTATCCATCGAATTGGTGTTGAAAATTTAATGATTAAAATATAAGTATTCAAACTAATTACATTTACGTTCGCTTTTTCACTGCTTGAAAGTGCATAGTCCCTGATCAATATTACATATCCAACTAATTATAAAATTGGGAGGTGTATTTCGAATGATTCTTCACCGCTAACAATATATCATTTCGAGTTAAAGGATAATGATTGTGTGTTCAGCTGTTGGTGGAAGACAATTTTTCCATTATATATCCTCACGGCCATGTTTGGTATATTTGAATAGTGTATTCTTCAACCCACAACTATTCCTTTACGTTTTTTTTTTGTGATAAATATAAATTAGAATTCTGTTATCCATTTATCCGACGAATTTGAAAATTCAAAAGCGACGATATGTTTGACGGTCACTCTTTAAAAATGCCATGATAAAAAAGGAAAGTGTAAATATAAAACTCTTAAAAAGTGACAATACACAGAGATATGAAGACAACTATGTAAATGATAATGAGAAAAAAAGCAATAATCTTAACGTGCAAAACCGTGTACGTACTTGTATAAAGAATACTCACGAAAAAATATTTTTTAAATATCTACTACAACTAAATGAGAGGAGAAAAAAAAAAGAATTCACGATGGTCCACGGCAATATTGACAGCAAAGTGATAAAGAAAATGTAAAAAACGGCATAAAATGAAGAATACAATTTTAGGGACTCATTTGTACCACATGTGCCGATTTTGTATTAAAAAAAATATCAGCACGATTGTCTTGCATTTTTGTTATTAATTTTTTTCTCCCAATCCGCGGTCTTCCGTCAACGGTTAGATTATCAACGATTGACTAGGAAAACATGGGATTATCCACCAATTTCAATCAATCCCTGATAAACGGAATACGATGGGTATTACCAAATAGCAGTTTAAAGGGGTGATATAGAAATGAATAAATCGATTTCCACAGGTGAAATGTTCCTCAACACCTCCAAAAAACTGCAAAGGGTCCCGTTTGAGAATTGGCATTGAATTATTCTTATTGTTTATCATCTTCACTTTACTGTTACATCTAAACTATAGCAAAGTGAAAATGATGTAGTTTCATAATATTGAAATGCGATTAGATTTTCATTCAATCATTTTCCAATGATACTCTGCCTCCTCTGTATCACTTAATGGTAAAAACCCTTAATCATTATCATTACAATAATAATAGTTATTATTAATAATCACCAGCAACTGTATTTTGGCCGCTATTGCGACCGTCCGATAAATCCTAGAATACATGTAGTCAGCTTATTCATTGAAACGTCAATTCTTCGATAGAGAATCAATCGATCTTCCACTCTCCGTTTCGAAAATTCATTGTTTTCCACATAAGTTTGCTCCATAACAAATCGCGCTCAATATCTCACCAGAATTTTCATCTCTTCATCTGAATATTCACCTCTTCTCCTGTCACAGAAGCTTTCAAATGTCGAAAGCCAAATAAAGCGAATTACTAAAGTTGATGAATTCAGAAATACTTTTCAACTTCGGAATGTGACAAGCTGCGACGGTAAACCAAAAATGATGTTTCATTGAACCATGCTTCGTATTTTTGACGTTCGACGTCTGCGAGACTTCAGTAACAATGTCAAAAATATTGATGCATCAATACATAGTCATATGCTTAGTCCGTTGGACAATCAGTCATATAGGGCACTGGAGTACCAGTAGCGGACAAGGGCGAACGGCTGGAAACACTGCGACTCTACGTGTTGATGATGTAACTTGTGTTGTTAGATGTTGCTCTTTGAGAATGACACTCGCAGATGATTTGACTCACTCAGTTGATAATTGTGCATTTTCTGAAATACATAATACCGCATTAATACTGCATTGTAATACTTTAATCGAGACAGCATAATGCAACTGCAAAGTAACTCACAATTAGCGCTGCAACAGCCTCGTCCATACTTGGCATCTGGATCAGAGCCATTTTCCTGTCTTTTGGGAAGAATTTGAATGCCTTCACTGTGAATCCATTCTGGGTAAACGCATCTTTTATTTCCTCTTCAGTCACCGTTGCTCTGTCATCAATATATCACAATTATCAATCTTGTCATTTGTAATTGGTATTGTTAAAGTAACAGATACTCACGGAATGTTTGATAAATGCAGGGTAGCACTTGGTGGATAGATATTTTGATAGTTCTTAGAGCCGGGCTTCTTAAATCGATGGAGAGGACTGTTGGTGTAGTCTTTGGTGAGACCTGCATCGGGTTGACCTTCCTTTGGCAGCTGAACTGTTTGATGCTTGCTGACCATTACTCTGATTTGTTTTCCAAACACTCGAAGCTTGTCCATGTGAGTCATAGCTGATTTCAAAGTGCAATGTAATATATATAAAGATTAGTAATTAAGAAGATGTAGAGGAATTTTGTTGAGGGATGATGCTTGATCACTTACCTAGGTGACCCTGCTGAGGTTCGGCCATTTGGATAAGGGCAGAGTCTTTTTTGTTGTATAGAATCTTCACGCGTTGTACATCCCCATAAACGCCTAGATTCGTAACATGCAAATGTTTTTATCACTGACCGGTTGCTTCTTGGTTGACGAAATAAAATTGATAACAATTGGGACGATAAGTTCGTTGAGAAAAAACAAAACAGTCTATTGGGTACGATCGGAGCGAGGTTTAGATCATGCATGACTATTCATCATAATCTATCGTTTTGTATAATTAACGAAAAACTAGCAGGCATGAATTAAACCGAATAAAATTAATGTAATCGAGTTCCTACAGAATCACATGAATTATTACTAAAGCAAAAGCTTATGTCAATATGAAGGTAACTATAATTGATATTAATCGATAAATCATTGATGAAGTGAAATAAAATTGTACAGGGAGACAATGACTTTTGAGAGGTGGAAAAACTTGACTGGAGTCTCTTCAATACTTATAACTGATGACCATAGGTAGCTATGGAATTGATCTTCTCAATTTTTCGACACGACAAACAGTTGTAGAAGGCAGTGGTCAATAGTAGGAGCTTAAAATTAATTTGATGATTAAGCAAATTGAACCATTGAAATGATTATTAGACAACGGATAGGAACAATGCGGATTTGAAACAAAAATGATTGAAGAGCAGACGAGAGAAAATAACAACAAAAAAAATAAAAATTAAAGAGATAAACGAGAACACAACATAACTGGATGTATTATGCGCCTCTGGTAGGATACGAGAACCAGTTATGGATTTGATAATCTTCAAAGCCTCGAGACTCCTCTCTGCGGCTCATTTGATTACGAATTATTACATGAGGAAAGAAATTGGTCAATATTATTAAAAAAAAACGTGAAAAAAAAGGAAACTCATTGACCTTTTAAAATATTACAATTACATGTGATTAATGACAAGCTCATAATCTCATCGATTGTAATTGGAATATTATTGAAGAATAAGTTGTAAGTGAAAAGTGAATTTGTATAATTGTTTTAAATATAATAATTAATAATGTAATATAATTAATAATATAAATGTGGAGACGTACCAAACAGGGTAAAGAGAGCGTCAGGCGTGACCATCTACACAGAGAACAGACAGAGTCCAGTCAGTAATGTAAATAGTGTAAAAATAGTGTAAACGGGAGCGCACAAGTTTCTCGAGTGAATTTCAAATTTTAAGAAGGAGAACCAATAAAATATTGTTATTGACCTTTCGGACGATGAATTAATGGTGTCGGAGATAGAGTGACAGAAGAATAGGAAATTAATTGATGATTAATAAAAAATAAATAACTGAGAAATAAAATGATGAAGCAACATAATTGAAACTATCGTGAAGCTTGTGCGCACGATACAAACGAATGAATAGTAAGTAAACACACAGTTACAGTAATAGTAGTGACAAGTTGCAGCTGCGAAATTTTTTTTCAATAACAATTGGCTGGATTTGCCTTTGTACCCGGTGATCACCCATTATTTTAATCATTTATTTCACATTTATGAGCGTTAAATCGTATATTTATTTGCAAATATTATTTCCATTTTTTTCGGTTGACTGAAAATGTTATATCACACTTGAATGTTTAATAGCGGTTTTCACCGGGCACCAGGACACGTTGAGAGTATCGTGGTAACAAAGAGGGGAGAGGAGAGGAGTATACGCCAGTAAACAAATGTATAACAGAGTGTAACATAAAAAGAAATCAAAATAAAAAATAATTTAAAAATCGTATTACATGTATAATATCGACGAACGGAAAGGAGCCAGGAAATAATTAAAATCGAGAACAATTATTGACATTTTCTTGTATTAAATTGATATTTTCTCGTTAATCAAGAACTGCAATATTATACGCAAACTTGCATAAAAACCCTGGGGCCGGCATAAATTGAATTGATTACAAGTAAAGGGCAAAAATGAAAGCTCCAGATTTTTTTAAATTTGCTGAGCCCGTGGTAGACGCGACCTGCGCGAATTATCCTCAACTATCCAGCATTGAAATTATGTGTGTATTAATTAATGCATGAAATAGGCAAATTAAGAGATGGAGTTTGCAGGGCAAGGAGAAGAGTAGGAAAATCAGGGAGTTTCGTATTTTTGTTGATTTAATATTGAAATAAAAAAAAATTTATATATACAGCAAAAAAAAAGTTGTCCAGCAGTTTCTTTCAAGTGTTCGTGCAAAGAACTTCTCGTTTCCGACCGGCGGCACATTTGACTGGGATTTATCAAATTGGATCCAATGAATTCGAGGAGAATTGCAGAGTGAAAGAAAAATAAGGAAAACAGGAATTGACAGATTTTGAGACCGGCGGAGAGATTTGAAAATGGATTAGCATTGACTTACCTCTTCATTCAAATTGGTGACTAACAGAACCGATGAAATTTGAGGGCTACCAGGTACTCTGACCCCAAGTGTTCCAGCACCTAGACTAAATCCACCGAGTCCAGCAATTCCACCACCTGGTGCCACACCATTCCCATAAGGACCAGCGAGGGGCGATGGTAATCCATGCATCGCAGCAAATGGCGATGCAAGTACGCTTGGTGCTCCTGTAATTGACTCTACTTCAGGCAATTCATGAGATTACATTAATCACACAAGTTCTCCAACTTAGTGTCGACAATTCGAAGTGACATTTTCACCAATTAATCCTTAACAATTCGATACTTACCAGGTAAACGTGCTCTTGGCTGCGAGCCTGCTGCACCAAGCAACAACTGTGGAAGTAGCTCACCACCTAGTGCCAAAGATGCTGCATCCAAATTCGGATCACCAGTTGGAAGCGTTGGATTTGTGTAATCACGTGATTTGTCATTGTTATATTTGACATTGAGACTCTGCATTTTACTAAAGTCAATGCGAAGTGTACAGCAGGAATTGTAAATGTTCTGGCCATCGAGAGACTGCAATTGTCGATTGAATTCCAAAATTAGATGAATTAAGTAAATGAAATTAATTGGATGTTGCATTTGAAAACATTGACACCCTGAAACCTCACTATCACCGGAATGACGGACATCTAAGGAAAATTCGTGCATCGTGACTAATCACTGGAATGCGCGTATACAATGATATTTGATTTTCATTAATAACCCAGTAACATGCTCACCGCACAATACTGGAAACTGTGCACTCGCTGAGCTCTAGGTACTTGCTTTAAACATGGACTGCCTTTGTTTGACTTGGGTTACTCGGCGTTTCTATATACTCTGAATGCTGAGCATATGTGTTATAACGTTCCACACCCGGTATACCCCCACTAACAGTGTTGTATGGTGGTTGGAAATAGACGAGTCCATATACAATCCCAGTGTGCATATTTGTACGTACTAATGAATTTCGTACATAATTACGCGCGTTACTGATAAATTTTACAACAGCCCATGCAGTTTCGCTATAATACTCGCCTACCACTACAATATTATGGATTTTGACTCTCACTTGACCCCATGTTCCTTTATTTTTACACCCCAAACATTAAAAATCAATGACCCGTTAATCGCTGATGCATTAACATTAACATTAACATTAACGTACTCGACTGCAAATTTATCGGTTCGTTTGGTTGAGAGGGTAAAAACATTGAGAATAGAGTATGATGTATCCAGAAGAATACTCTCAGGTGGTTCTTTCAGCCAAAGGATTTGCCAGGTGGATATGTGCATGCCGGAAATTTAAGGGGGATGTATGTCTGCGAGGAAAAATAAATTGCTATACGTACCAATTTAGCAGTCTGCGCAGACATCGTGTCCGAATACTGTATGAGTGCTTGAAATGTACCTGAAAAAAGGGGTTTTGAATGAGTGAAAAGTTCATACGAGATAAATTATTTGTGAAAACTTTGAATTCATGGAGGAGGATTGCACCTTATGCATACTTTGAAATACATGAGATACATCAAAGTTTTTTTTTGCACACTCGGGAGGGGAAAAAGGGAAGACAGAAATGGAATAAAGTCGACGAATAGCACCAGTGACTGTCTCCATAATTTATAAGATTTTTATTGTAATAGTAAGAAAGGTAAACGTTAGTCATACGATGCTGGAGTTGAAGGAGCGAAGAAGCAAGAGGAAAAAAAAACCAAAGAGGTATAGAGAAAGGTGGGGGAGAGAGAGAGAAAAAAGCTATGAGTGCATACACATCCAAAGAGTACGGCTTTCGTTTGCACGATGGAAAATTGAATTTTCGAAAGGCGACGACGGGGCCACTACTAGGGAACGTAGCAAAAGAGATGCAGGCTAGGGAAAAAGGCCACCTATGTATTACTCTAGCAGTATATGATGGTATATGGAGACAGCCCTTGAGGGGCTTTCGCCATACTTGGGACGCAATATCGAAAGTACTTTAACGGGTGCGAAAGCTCAACCCAGCATATCTCTCACACAACGTATACCTATAAACCACCTATTTTCAAATAAACAATGGAGTACTTAAACAATACTATTACTACTTACTATTTTTAGTGAATGTTACAATCTTCAGGACTTTTCCAAAACGAGTGAATATCTGAAAAGTAAAATATACAATAATGAAAATCAATGGAATAAACAAATACGCCAAATGGCGGTGAGAGAATGAAAAGTTTCATATTTATTGGGAATTGTTGGAATAAGTTATGATACTCACAGATGGAAAAATAGCCTGCGGTCAGGCAAATACTGAATGCATTGGATTATGTATAATGAGAGCTTGTAACTGGGTGGATAGATTGGGTGGGGCTGGAAGGGGAAATGTACAGGTGCATACAAATAATCGTGGCATTCTCTCTACATCATCGGAGATAGCTACCAGCATGTGTGGGCTCAATATGAGGGAGATGAAATGCCGTGATGAGAGAGAGGTAGATATTGCTGTGCGTATATCAACCCTTTGCGCTACGTACCGTACAAAATTAATAAACGTATCGCTTATCACGAATGGCCTACCTACATAATTGTCGTATTTGGTATGAGAAGCGACAGACGATGCACTCATTCGAGTAGTATATACCTGTGTAGCTTCGACACGAGAGTCAATGCATAAATGTTTACCGTAATCGGCATTCAATCTCTTTATCAAATATTATTCAATCCACAGCCCAGTCTGACAAATTGAATCCATTAAAGTAATTAATCATTGTTATTGTCGTTTTTCAGGAGTTAAACGTTATTTTTTGGCAGTTCGGCCAATAGTCGTCGATTATTTGTCTTTAATCTACGGCCGAGCTGAATGGAGATGGAAAAATTTTGCCATTTCCTATTAAAACCATTAATTATACTTGATATCTCTTCTTGCCACATACAAATTTGGAAAGATACTTTATGTCATAATCTTTTTCCGGTTATTCCTATCCCTCGTCTTGATAGGATTGAAAATAGGTGGAGCCGAAATTGGGTTTGAGTTTGCCGAGTCACATTGATAGCAATTGAAACTGACGTTGAAAATTGAATGCGGGTAAATCAATGCATGCGCCCCAGTGACAATTCGATGGACGTTTGGAGGCGAGGGAAGATTGTGCCGCGGGCAAAATCAGAATAATAATTTTTGCTGTTTCGCGATAACAGCATTGGAAACAAATTAATCAACATCATAATTATCGGTGAAACAGTCCACTCAATGGAGAATAAAAAAAAAAACGGTATTGAATTAATTGGGAATTTTAATTTGGCGAATATTGTTCCCAACACGTCCTAAATAATTCGCCAAGTTGAACTCATAGGGTTTAAACTTCAAAGATAGATTATCCCCAAATATAAAAATTAGTTAAATTTTCAAGGGTCACAATTGCACTCGTAATGCACTTGGAAAATTCTCACAAGATCTTTGGAATGAGGATAAAATTGGTTGGTCTGTGAAAATGGAGTAACCGCACTGTTTTCTCAGCGGTATTTGAGTTTTTCCTTTTTCCCACTTTTTTTCTCGTCAGGCCACCTATACCGTGGATAGAAATCCCGTGGGAAATCAACTTGCCGCGGAAAAACGCACACAAATGGTTTTCCAGGACTGAGACTATCGCGTGCTAGTGGCCTGTTGTGAATAGAATGAGAGGGTAAAATAGTTCTTTGACAGTAACAACTAAAAAATGAAAATGTAGGTTTCGAGTGCAACTGTAAAGAAGAGAGAAGTAGAGGTTGGCCGACGAAAATGGCTAGTTTTCGTCGGCCAGCCTCTACTTGCCTTGGTAGGGCCGCCATCCGTGGTCCAGAGCCATAAGCTACATCAAATACTTTATTTTTCCATCTCCCTCGGCTTTATCGTGTCATTGTTTCGACTTGGCTCATGTCCCATCGGTATTCCCTCCTTCTTCAATCGACGGTAGAAAAGGAAATGGGCAAGGTGGGCTACAAAACCCCATTGACTAGAAGGCCGAGATGTGGGCTTAAGAATTTTTCACTTGAGACCCCAACTCTCCACCGTCTTTTGCCCATTTTTTTGCCACTGGTCTCTCAAATCGAAAGAAAAGCCAACGGCACGCGAGCAATCTTCCTCGACCCGATAGCTTCCGCTCGAGCTTGGAGGCCGCACTATAATATTCTCCATCGTATCAATACCCCCCTTGATATTTTTTCATCGATCCTATATCAAGCCCCTTTATACGACCCTTTCCTCATCCATTCATTTCATCCAAACGGATATTAATTGCCCTATTCATTTATATATAAATGCGAAGCAGCTTTTTAGCGCGTGCTGTTAAACCATAAGAAAAAATGTGTTTTTATGGCCGCGAAGAAAAATGTTTCACCATTAAGTTGGCCAGCTTATCTCCATGTAGCTGCAGAGCTTTTTTTCTATCTTGGGCTTTTTTTTTGGATCAAGAAAGCGGATTATGGAGGCCAGAGGTTGAACATTTGTGTTCGTCTCCTCGATACATGGTACAAGGATGAGAGCTTGGGGGGAGGGATAAGAAATGCTTCTCTGGAGCTTGTATTGGAAATTGAATTCTATATGTGTATCGGTCGGCTTACATGGGCGAACGACGATTCGTCTAGTATCTGGAGATGTGTGAGCAGAACAGGGGCAGTTGGAAAATCGACGCTTGGGATTACGTATCACCGGGATATGGTATATGGTATATGGTTTGCACGTCTAGTATACGTGCGCGCGGCTTGTTACACGTCAATGTCGTTTCGTTATTGATTGCCACCGCAACAGTCATTAATTCGCGATGCTGTTTAATTATATAGATATATGAGCCCCCGTCACTCAGCCCTTCTAATGTTATGAAAATACTACATGACGCCACAGCACTTTAACTGTAATCGCAAGTACCATATTGTTGACACAGGATAGAGTGGTGCCGATACACCAATGGAATCGCAATATCATGTACTCGTTAATATTATCTAGTTACAAATGTGAAATCCATTGTCGTTGATTAGTCAGGGGAAAATATGGAAATGAATAAAGAAAACTTCGGCTGCACTTCAATGCGCAAAGAGACAAGTACTTTCTCCCTGAATACGAGATTGTGTTGAATCCCAGGTGGTTTACCATAGATACATCTACCCTAAGGAGCATTTATATACCCGTCCAACTGTATATGAACCAAAAACTTGACGCCACTCGAAACTTCAGTCTGAGCGTTGAAAAGTCAAAGTTTTCATTCAAACGAAAGTTTCTCGAGTGAAGTGCAGAGACAACAAATTTTTCTACATTTTAAAGACAAACAATTCAACTTTATTTTTCCATCTGGAGTATTTTTTTTTCTCTCACTTCTTTCAGCATTATGACTACTCTTCGTTCCCTTTTATTTTGTTCTTGTCCATTCGGTGATGCGTATTGGTTATTTCAAAGTTTCTCTCGAGAGTGGAAAATTGAATATTTGGATGACGGCGTTGCTCTGGCACTGGGTCTCGTGTCGCTCGGTTGACTGTTCCGAAAAGGAAACCACCTCTTCATCCCTCTTTTCCACCATCTTTTTCTGTTTCAGGGAGCTTTCGAATGGCATTGGAGCGAGGGTTGATCGTAAAGTTGGATATCGGTGCATTCGAAAAACAAGTAATAGAGAAATGAAAAAAAAAAAGAGGGATAAAAATCCGGAAAACGTCGATATAAATTAAGCCCGGGACAAATCCAGTAGGGAAAAACCACAGCTGGAGCTTTCACGTACGGAGGACAAGCAAAATAATGGAGGGGTGAAAAAAAAAAGATTGGATGGATGATGGTGAGATAAAAAGATCGGTTAGAAAATTGTGTAAAAGCTTTTCATCGCTGTTCAAATGAATTGTTGTTTTCTCAAGGGTTGCTCTGAGAGCGTCAAGTAAAGCTCCTTGGTTATTTAACTCAAGCGCGAGGAGAAAGTTATTTCCGAGTCTCTGAAGGCTAGATACCCAGCGGCAAGTGTGCTTACCAAACCCAAGCTGCCCCATTTGCTGGGCTGCAAATTGAGTCTAGAATGCAGGAGTAATTTAAGTGGGATTAGACATTGCCGTCGATATTAGTGTAACATATGATACTTGCAATAGTTGGTTTTGGTTCAAGTAGTATTACACGGGAGTGGTCAGCCAATTGTAGAAGTGTTATTACACGAGTCATTGTGATACCACTGAACAACAAGAATAAAACAAGTGGAATATTTCTCATGACTTCATAGGATAGAGTTATTTCTGCTGATAAATTAGCAATATGCTTCCGAATCGTTATGCCTTTCATATACTGTTAAAAAAGTAATTTTAAGAGCGAAACATACAACTCGATTAGGGACAAGTGGATTGACTTAATTTTTAAGAATATTTCTTACTGAGAAATATCTCAGTCTCACAATTTTCAGATTTCAAGAGAAAGGGGTTTTCTATTTAGTTGAATTCTTCTTTTTAGGATATTCAAGTGAATATTATTTATTATTTGAGGTATTCAGTTGAATCTGGAGTAGAATTTTGAGCGAATTTTGGGCCAACATTGGATCCACATAAAGGCCGCGAATTTTTAGAAAACGAATAACGTAATGGTTGCCTTCGAACTCGGTCAAAAGATCACTGAACCGAACCTATTAATCCTTCGTTGAATGAGCGAGAATAATTTCATTTTGAGTCATCGTTAAAAAACTTTCGATTTATGCATATATTTTTCGAGAAAAGTTATTTGAAATTTCCTATAACAGAAAATTGGTGGTTCTGCTTCTAAAAATGTGGAATTTTCAATGGAAAGATCAATAAGGCCAAGCCCAAAGTTAATAATCGAGCCATGAAAAATAGCGCACTTGAAATTGAATAATCGCAATGCTTGAATTCGGAAGCAGTAGTACAAACACTATTTTATTGTAATGTACTAGAATAAAGGAGACGCAGGGATGACGAGTGACTGAAAATACAACTAGGTCGCTTTCTACATAGAAGCGTTTCTACGTCTTTGGTTAAGCCCTGCTTAGCCCTTGGCTGAGATTAAAGATGTTCCGGGAAAGCACGCTTTTAACGTTCTACGATTATCAAGGGAGAAAAACTAACGCAACGCTTTGGAAATGCATTGGGTTCATTCGTTATTAAATATCATTAATATAATTTAACGTGTTTTTGGAGTTTGGGGTTGGAGATAAGCTCTCGGTGGCATGTTACCAACGAGAGAAAACGTTGGAATTGTGGGAGGGGGGAAGAAAAAGAGAAATAGTAGGTTTTGAAGCGTTTAAAAATGCATGGACCACTCAACTCGAACCGGAAGCACTCCCGTTATCCCTTCTCCCATATCGTGGAGGCCCTGCATCATTCCCCAAAGGGGATCTCGAGGCTTTCGTTCGACGTCCCTAATGACGCACCCACGTGGTACACCTACTTATCCCTCCCTTGTTTTCCTACACACTTGCTCGACAAATTGTTGTTTCCTTTTTTCCCTTTTTAGTTTATTTTTCTACCACTTTTTATGAAACTACATGGTAGTTATCAATCCACTAACTAAACTCTTCACTCATTATTCCAATGACTAGGCATTTTCCCTTTTGTTACACTCATTTTTATCCTATTTCGAAATTGATAATAGTCTCAGCGATATTTTTTTTAATACACACATCATGATCTTGGGTAATTTCACTTACCTGGTACAGGATGTCCAGGGATATTGGATAGATCATGTGTTCCACGATGACCCTGAGGACAGTATTGGGCCCACCCTGTGTATCTCCTTGACTCTGCACCGCCTGTCCCTGGGCAACTTGCAATGCCACTTGCGTGTTGGTGTTCTGTTGACATAAATCAGATGACATCCTTGTTTTAGTTTACTAAGACAAAATGCAAATAATACCAGTTTCACTAAGATATGAGCCCGAAGCAAGTTTATGCATCGGATGCGCTGAACACAGAGTGAGTAAACGTTTAATACATCAACCTCGTTTCAAAGGATTAACGAGAAAAGGGAATTTCAAATGTTTAATACAGAATGATTTTCAATCTAGCGCTCTCCATGTACCCTTTAATTTTCCCATCTGTTTTTTTTTGTTCTATCCAAGAGCGGCGAGAATAAGATTGAGGAAAGGGCCAATTTCTCCCTTGTTTGAGGCTCGTGAGTCTTTTACGACTGCGAATTTACTCCGGGCTGCTTCTTTTTTTATTTTTCTAATGAATTTTCGAGTCTGTGTAGAGAGAATGTGCTGGAGCGGCAGATAAAATTCTGGGAGAGGGAAGAAACTGCAGATGAAAGGGAATTATAGCAGTGCGACAGGTAAGAAATGATCAATTCATTCCTTTTGTGAAGCTGAGGGAAGAAAGTCTAAAAGGGAAAATGTTAGTTTTGTCATATAACTGCACTCCACTGGAGCCATATCGTATTATTCTCGTTTGAGTCATCCTACATTCTGTGATGCTTTTGATGGCTCAGTTTGGTGTGGCCCAGACGATTGTTACACGCCAGCGTGAGCCATTATACCAGACGATTTCCTTGCAAGCAGCGCGTGAGCTTTTAACGGCTCCCGAAGTGTACGTACGTCCTCAGCATGCTTCAAAAAGAGCTTATATAGCTATATACTATGTACTCTGTACTCAGTACTGCTGAACCAACATTGTAACACATTCACTGAGAGAAAAGGCCCCCTTTATCCCACTTTTTTTTACGACACACATTTCATTTACAAAGAACTTTAATTCCATTTTCTTGAATGCCAAACAATTATATAAAATTTTAAGGTTATACTTTCGGAATGATACATCTCGAATAAAAAGTAACTTTAATGGCTTCATTCGACAATGAACGTTTACGAGAGTTGCATCTTTTCCTCAAGTACGTACCCTTATTTCCCCCCTTCATGACGAGCCACGGTAGTTGAAATATCTCTGAGTTTATAACTCCCCTCGTTCATTTTAATATACATAGGCTCTTTTCACGGTTGAACACCAATACAGTTGTTACCGCCAAATTGATATGTCTAATATTTATAGTGCTTCTGGGTTTCATCACGGTGTGTTGTATTTTCCAAAGTATAACTTTGGTGAGAGAGTGAGAGGAGGAGGTCGTCAAGTTAAAACAAATTTGAATATTGAAGACGAAAATGGACGAGCAACGACACAGTGAGCAATCGCATAAATTTACCCTAGTAATGAGTATAGTCTGGCCCGCTTTGAGTGAAATTGTTGATGGCTTTGAGTGCGGCAGAGATTCGTTATCGGATTAGAGGCAAAAGGGCTGTCCCAATAGCAGTGAAGAAACTGTCCAGGGGCATTACATACAATAACGGTTGACAATTTATTGAATCCATTGAATGCATTCAAAGTGAAGGTGAGGAAAACCCGCCAAATGAAGGGACAATTGTTACTCCACAATTACTTTATGAGCTGCATATATATACATATATATACATATATATATATATGTGTATATGATATAAGAAGATATGAAGGAAAAAGGGCAAGTGAAGAGCAGGGAGGTAAAATAATATATGAGGCGTCTCGGAGAAACAATGCGCCGTCGTAGATCACCCAGGACACCCTCCATTAAAAATATTACGCCATCTTGGCCGTGTAACCACCCTCTTGGCTCAGGCTCCTTCACCTTTCCTTTTCCGACTCATTCATTCACTGTGTAGCCGCTTACTCTCTTTGCTCCCTTGTACACTTTCACAAGCCCTTCACAAACCCGCGCCACCCTTCTCTTGGCGAGCAGGCCGAATAACAATGTGCCATTGTTGGGAGGCTGTACATCCAACATTGGGAGGGTGTGAAATATGCAAGCCGTTAAGACCCAGAGAAGCAACGAGGTTTCCGTCGTCTCAAGCCCTTTCACTCACTCGCTCTCTCTCTTTCTCTTTCCACAAAACTGGGCTGCACTCGCAGAGACAGAAGGGAAAAGGAGGCCAAAGCCAACGATGCCCCATTGTTGGGGATGCATTCGTAAGAAGAATCGTCTACCACTGCTAGCCCAACTAGATTCAGACTCGACTAAATCATTTTCTATCAACCATCATCACTGGATGACAATTGCGGAAGTTGCCACGTCCTAGATTTTCACGTTTGTCAATCCTCGACAAGCTCACGGCTGCTCACCCGCAAATGGAAAATAATAAAATGTTTATTTAATACTGAGATGTAGACTGGGTTCAATTCGTGCATTTCGCCTTAATGACAATCAGTGGAAATGGCTGGTACAAAGCGCTGACAAACCGCTGAGTGGATTTCCCTCAAATTTAATCATGTCTAAGCTAAATGAAGACACTTCATGTACTACGATGCACTGTCTGTATCAATACGGATTATAATGTATTAGTGATTAATGGAGAAGGAGTATAAAAGCAGAAGTTTCAAAGGTATCCCTGCGGGATACGAGGCACACGCGTGGGCGAGCGAAAACAATAGGTGAATTGCATGCCGGATATGTATTTGCTGGGATCACATAGGCACGACCACAATTTTACACACAGATCACGATTGCAGGGGAAAATGAGCATGTGTTGAAGAGTGGATGCGCACGCTGGGGGTTATAGAGCGAGAAGAATTGAAAAAGCGGGAAAATTGGAGCGGAGTGGGATAAGGAGGATCGTGAAGACTGGCCTCGGCTGTCTGCCAGCCCTTCGACTAAAGCACTCGTTTCCTTTTTATTCTACTTTATACTCAATCTGCAAAATCTTGCGACACACTGGTGAAAAATCGGAAAAACGTTTGAAAATCTCCGGACCCGTACTCCACAATTATTATTATTTTCCTCTCATCGTGTGCGGCAATGCTGCACACGAGAATCATGGGAGAATTCACTTTGTATTTTTCAAAAGTTCTTTTAATTTTTCCTCTTTTTGACTCGACACAAAGGAAAACGACAGGGCGTATAAACTGGTATCCGGCGACGCCGGAGGGATGCTAAATTAATTACCAAACAGGCTAGTCAGCAAAAAAAAAATGCGCAGAAAGAAAGCTGAACAGATGGCTGAGAATAAATAATAAAAGTGAGTGAAAAAATTTGATAATCACAATGATAACAGCTCCGAGGTGCATAAAGAATGATTAATTTCGCAGTGGTGGGAGGTATTGGAGAGTACTAGATGGTTTAAACGCTCGTCACCTTTCTCACCTCTTTTTTTTTCTCAAAAGAGGATCTCTATTAAAGTGGCTTTTTCTACCTCTAAAAGGATACACGAGCCCACCAATTTATTACACCACCTGGTGACGCATTAACACTCACTGCATACAACATAATAATTCTATAAATTAGCATCATGGGCTTGAGTTGCCTGATGTGAAGAGAAAGTTTCTCGTCCGTCCATGTTTATGTTATATTTTGGATAAATAATCCCAGGGACCACGGGGGCCTCGTTCATAAATTATATCCCCGTTAATTACATGGAACTCAGGGCCAGCTTGTCGAGGGTGTTTGAGATCGACTTGGAGTGGGAGGTGGAGATGCTTTCCAAGTGGTTGTGTACCCAGGGAAAATGCAACCCCATCTCCTCCTCCATATGTGGTAACCATTATCCAACAAACTAAAACTGGGTATAGATTGGACGTAGATATATGCATAGACACGTGGTGAATATCTCGTGGTAGCCGGGGGGGTGTATCGCAAACGTTTAATTAACTAACCGAGCAACAAACGGGATAAGACGAGGCACTTTGAATACGTGAACCACTTGTTAGAGTGGTTTCATTAAGCAGAGGCAAAAAAAAAAATTGGGGAACAAAGTGAGAGGAGAAACACCACACTAATGGAACGATTCATTCAAGCCTAACGAGATTCGTTAATTATTAGAGAATGAAGCCCTAACCCCCGTGGGAAAATAAAAACCAAAAAATACAAATTATTAATAACGGTAATAATAAATGCTAGGTGGATATTAAATCATTCTGATGGAGAGCTTTAGTGAAGATGGAAATTATATTGAAAGGGATCAATCGAAGAAAATGGAAATAAATGGAAATAAATGGAAATAAACGGAAATAAACGAAAGAATAAAAAGAAAAATAAATAAAAATAAATGAATGATGGATACTGACGTTGACATTGGCGATGATGTTTGTGGTAGGACTACTGACCGCGTTGCTGTGGGCCTGATCAGTCTTGAGCTCCCGATGATTGCTGTATTGTACATAAACAGCACGACCTCTGAGCGATGCTCCACTAGCTGCATAGTACCCAACCATCGTCGTGGCAGCATTCTCATCAGCCATCTCGAGAAATGCCTGAAAGATACAAAAAACATTAATCAATTATACTGGAATTTTTCGTTGACATGAACATCCATTTACTTTATCATTTATTTTATTGAATGAAATCGATACACGGGGTTGAGCTGCGGCTCGCCCGGGCTTTCCCCTGAGGACAAGAATTCAATGGACGAAGGAACTCGAAGATATACTCAGCTCTATACATCTATACTGAACCGTGTGCACTTTAAGAGCACGGGAGAGTAAAGAGGAGATTAAAAATTTGAGTTGTCGAGTGAAATTGAATGTATAAGTTAAATAGCAATATCAGATAGAAAGAATTAATGGAGAATTTATTGCAATGGTGTGGGGGGTAGGTGATATAAGGGTAATTGTTGAGGAAGGGAAAGGGAAAGGAAAAGTGAAAGGGGAAAGGGGAAGGAAAAGGGCAGTATTGTTTTGCCAATGGAAAATTGGGTTATGGGTGACAAAATCATGCACACGTAGGGGAGAAGGTAGGAAAGATTGGTGTTATGCACATGTAGCTCAAACAGCTTTAGAGAGTCAGTTGTATTTTAGCTGGGATATACCGGAATATAATGTCGCGGATGGACGAACTTAGTATAGCTAACGCAGTTAACGTGTTTCCACTAGGTCTCTTCATAATGAAGCATAGAACCGCTCTATGGAATTGCGTTTGCGTAAACCAGCCGCCGGGGATTCTGGACTCTCCCGATGTCGTCGGTACATCAAACTAGTTCGGCTCAAAAGCCCAAGCTTCTATGATGATATTGCACACTCTTACATGGTTCACGGTGTGTATTATAGAGGAGATGAGAGTGCTGTAGGCCTCTGACAACAAGTAACCCCACGATAGGCTGGTACCTGTTATGCATCGGGTTTGGTGTGTATTGCCATGAAACCAAAACCAAATTCTCAACGGTGTGCGAATTCCGCTGCAAGCTATGATGAATATATATATGTATAACCGGGCATATCTATTACACTCAAGCTATCCGATCCACAACAGAATTTTCAAACATGCGAGAATCATGGCCGGTGGTCATGTACTGGACCACTTTGAGAAGACACTTATTCCAGCAACGTTCGTCAGGAATTTTTAATATCCAGCTTTCCTCACTGCTACGATCCACATGCTCAACCCCTTCAACTTTTATCCTTTTTTTCAACTACGGTTTTACAATTTTCTGGGTTTTGTGTTAACCACACCATAACGGAACGCACGCTCGCCATCTTGCCTTTTTCCTCTGAACGAATTTAAAAAAAAAAAAGTTAAAAATTTCATGGGCCATGCATGCCTCCCCACACTAGCACGAATTCACTCATGAAAATCCAGAAATACTCATGGATTTTCCAATCTGCATTGTTCTGATGTTCTCGACAAATTCAACGATCGCTGATATGCGGAGAATTCGCCTACCGAATTTAATTGAATTGAAATGTAATGATATTTGGGTCGTTATTTTTCCGGACTGCTCCAATAAAACTTTTAACAAGTAATAGCAAACTGGATGTACTGTCGTTACTTCGACAGCATTTTTCGCAGTTCTATTTGCTATGCTAAAAATTATAAAAACTCGTCGAAAGGAAAATGACTCTCATCATTAAGTTGAAGCACTTTGAGAAATACTATGTGAAATATTTTCCAAGAAGCGAGTCAACTGCGAGAGTAAATTTTTTATTCAAATAGTGCAAGAGTGACTGGTTTGTGCCTCAGAGGTTTTCAAGTACTGCGTTGGGTTGCCACAGCCGTGTGATAGTACAGAGAGCCCATCTGGAGTGTACAGTGGTTAGGAAGTCCTCTTCGAGAGGAAGCAAAACCAGAATGGTATAAATGTAATTTATTCCTCGTACCTAAGGGATCCACGGTCTCGAACTATACCTTTGAACTCGTCTGCTGGTTAAGCTGCAGAGTGGGCGCATGTCGCCGCGAGCTAGACCGATGGAGCAAGACTTTTGAGAAAGAAAGGAAATACAACTGGGGGATAATATTCCCCCCCGACTGAATCAAAGAAATATAATATCATTAGTAACCCCGACCGGTTATTACCATCTTGCAGTTAATATTTTTTACTTCCACAAGGAATGACCCATTTCCTCATCCCCATTCGCTCCCGAAGGGATCGATTCCTCGGGAATTGCGCTTTTTACACTGCACCCACAAAAATGGAGGATTTCAATCAAATGGAAATCTTTATTTCACATTTCTTTCCCCACTTAAAACAAACAGTTAATCCGAACGAATAAACCCGCTGCAATCAAAATAACTTAATTACATCAAAAGAACAATTGACTATTCTCAAACCTAGGGTTTTCATTTCTATTTCTATTATACTAAATATACGTATTGTTATATGTATATTGAGTAGTAATGAAGTAATTGAATTATATCTGGATTAGTCCGAAGCTGTTGAAATAAATATTGAGGCAATTGTCAGATATCTTATAATCTGGCATTATTCAAGGACGAATGCATTTGTACGTCTACAAATGTGTACGGGTAATAACACGTAGGCGTTGTTGTCGATCAAAAGCTCTTGCCGTTTCTACCCGGTTTTCAGCTTTGTTCCAAAATTAATACGAACCGGAGGGAAAGCGGATTAGCCACCGCACAGTGGATTCGTTTGGAAAACACTGCGCCAATCCCTCTCTCCTGGGAATTCTTTATTCTTGTCATTTGATATACATGAACCCCATCATTACATATCTCTCAATCTGTGAATGGAATATTTTGAATAAAAAAAAATGATATGGAAGAAAAAAATGGTCAGAGTGACTTGAATGATGAATTGGATTTTCAATCAACTTTTTGATACTTGAGCGAGCTTTTGCAAAGTGTGGGGGTAACATTCTGCAAAATTTTCAACGTGTTATGCAATCCAGTTGGGGGCTGTGAGTGCATCCAGGGCCGTTCCACGGCTTTTCACAGACTCTCTTTTACACTATCCGAGAGGGTGGAGAGTCACCTGGAATTTACGACGAGCTTTTTGCGGCTTCGATTCCCATTGCTACGTCGTTGCTTCCTGTTGATACAGCCTCTACATCACCAACATATACAAGCTTATATGTATGTATCCAGAATCCTTTTGAATGGTGCAGTGGAGAGTCCTCCTACAATTGCGTCCTTCATTCTATTTACTATATTTCTCGGTTATTCCGCGTAGTTTATTTAATTTGTGATTCTTTGTCCGAGTATTACCGAAGCGTAGTGTTTCCAATATTAACGAAATACCGGGGATCGATATATTCAATAGTGATGAATTTATCGATTACCAGTACATGAGACTGAATGAATAATATTTGCTGGAGCCGATGGTATAAATGTTCGATTTGCCTGTAGATGCGTACATTATGCTCTTCAATGACGGTACACGCAGAATGGCGGCCTCGGTTTAATTAATTTATGCTACAACCCAATAAGCCCTGGGGCTTATCGCAGTTTCGGGAGCTTTACGAAACTCTCTTGCTGCGGGACTTGGGGATTTTCTTAATCCGAGAAATGAATAAAAAAAAAGTCGGTCAATTTTATAATCTGCAACTCACTGAGTCCCTTATTAGAGTGTACATTTTTTATTCATACTTGAGAGCACCAGTCGAATTGAAGTCTTCAACAATCGAATTTTCAAAATTGTTGGAATAAATACTGCATATACTGTATATACTGTATATACTGTATTTTCTGTATGTATCTACTATGCTCAACAATCAGAATACATGTACTGGATAGCTGTTCACAGTGGAACAAGTTTGTATAGAAATGGTGTCGGGGCTAGGTACTCCTCACTTTTTCAACCTCTTTCAACCAACTCAGCACTTCGACCACGTTTCCCATTGAAGTACGAGGTACGAAGGTTTTCAAATGGCCAGTGCCAGAATACGCGTGGCGTTTTGGCCACTTGTCAACCTGACGATTGCCAAAACCGCGGAGAATCGCACTCCAACTTTACCAACACACACTGGTATTTCTGTGAGTTCTTCTCTCTGCAGAAACCCCATCCAATCTATATTCAAAGAAACTGAAGCGAGACTTCGCCAGTTGAAACACCACCGGAAATGCATTCAGACGGTATTGCACCAGTGCCATTGTATCATAAAAAATTGGTGACGCTGCGATAAATCAGTGATTGCAACTGGTGTATATACTATCGTATTTTCCATCACTGCAATTATGATATAATTAATCGCAATGGGATGGATACGATCTGTCCGGGTTATATGTCAAGTGCTCACGGACATGTCCACAAACAAAACGAATAAAACCCAAAAGAGAATGGAATTTTTGTTTATTCTTTTGGCGTTGTCTCTCGGCGCGACGTGTTCTTGAATGCGTGGGAAACGTACCGGAAAGTGAGGGCATCCTGGATGGCCAGGTCGGCGTGACACATCGTAAACTCCAGGTGGTGCCGATGCACCGAGTACCAACGCGCGTGTAATACTACCAAAGGAGACATACGCTTGAGTTTTATCGTTCTGGGTCACAAATTTGGTACGTCCCAAACGTGATATTACTCACTGGGATCAATTTAATGCCTCATCTGCTGCTTTATTATTGTTATTATTATTTTTTTGTCAAAAATACGTGTGCACCGTTGAAACAATTTTCATTGAATTTTAACCACTTCTTTTTTGCAGGTATTATTTTCACGAAGAGAAATATATGGGTCAGAAGTTTAATTGAATTTGTAATATTAATTTGAAAAGTTGCAGTCATAATAGAGGTGTATAACACAAGGTAAACGAGTCACGTTCCATTACCACCATTTTCCGAGGTAGCTACCTAGTGATAACTGACGGCCCACCCAACTCGATGCACAGCCTTTGTCCTTTGATGCTTAATTAATTAACTAATTACTCGCATTTTTTAATTCTTATAAATTCAGCTTTCTGGGTATCTTCCAGGGTGATATCAAGTCCATAGCCTCTGGAAATAAATAACTGTAATTTTTTTTCTCCTCCTCAGATACATGAACCTCAGACGCGATGAGAAACGAAGAGGATAATTAGATAAAGAAGACGGAAAGGAATTTAATTAATTAAATGGAAGCCCGTTGCATGTCACTAGGTAGTGTTTGATTAATGGTGGCAGATTAACTGAAACGTCAACGGATTCACTAAATACTTGCTAATACAGGTGATGGTACCGTGCCATTGAGGTTCAATTCAAGATGATATCTCGTATCTGTCGACACCAAGAATGCTAGTGGATTGATGCTGGTGGGGAGGTGGAGTTGAATGGTAACATCGTGGTAAACTAACTTGCGTGAAACTTGGGGCGAATCAAAGCAAATATACTGAAAGTGCCCGTCGGAGAGGTCATGGTATCTCTCATTTGCACCCTATCAACGATATCACTCGGTCTATACAGCTCGCCAATGTTTCACCACACCCTCCAACTCTATTCCAGGGAGGCTATATATGTTGTCTTCAAATTATATGGTAATTTCATTATTCATCGCGGTGGAGAATCGTTACATCTACTCTATTATAACTGCATCGACAGTTAACGGTGAAAGACGAGGAAGATTGATGTGATTCCATAAACATTCAATTTCATTTCAGAGAAGAAAAATCTATGGACAACACTCGGATAAATGCATATTTTATAAAAGTATATAATACTATTTTAAATATGTAAAATCCGGTCTGTCTGAAATACTTGAGTCCTCGTTTAAATGAATCCTCTTCTAGTGACTTTCTGGATTTTATACATTCTTCTGATAAAGATGATACCAGAGGACTTTTCTCTTTTTTGTCTAGTATTCTCATATTATGGCAATCTTTCCTTCAAAATCTGCCGAATAATGGTAAACTTGATTAATTGATCATCAAGTACCTGATTGGCCGTCCCACTCGTCCTTAATTTTAAGAAGCTATGCAACTGAACTAAGGCTGAAATGAGAGGGAATGAAATAGTTGTAGGTTGTAGGCTGTAGGTTGTAGGTGCTGTGGATCGTAAAATTTCGGTTGAGTGTACGGCCATATTCTCGGGCACACAGTTCGGTCGGTCAACATTTATGTATATCGATGGTTTGCGACGACCCGAATATTGCCGCTGAGCGCACACTCTGTGACCCCTCTATGAAGCATTTTCCTCACCCCCTGGGCACCCCTCACAAGCCCGACATTTGTGTTTCACGTGGTGCCTCGCAAACGCTAATGCGCGCGTAATTTCCGCGAGGTAAATCTCTTCATCTGGCTCTAGAATATTTGCCTGTGAACCGCGGCCCATCGAGTTCATTATTTTAATCCATACTGGCATAAACAAAGCACAAGCTTATACTGTGAATTGCTCCTCGTATTATAGCGCACTCCCAACATTCTCACCAAAACCGATTCGCGATATATTGTCCGGTCGTTTATGATGATTTTCTAAATAGAAACTCTCGAGTACATTCATTAATCTCTGCCGTATTTCTAGTAACAGATTAATCCAATCCAGTTATTATGATATTTCCTAAATAATGCGGCGTGGAGGTATGTGAAACATTTGTGGAAAATGAGGAAAGTATGCCCCCAGTTGGCCAGTTATTCATTAACATGTAATTACGTTGTGATATGTGATAACAAGAGCAGACATTTCAATGGTGGAGGGGTAGTTTCCACGGTTGGTTGGGAAAAAAAGCAAAATTACACCAAAAAGAGAGGAAAAACAAATAAAGTAAACAATGCCAAAACTGGAAACAATGCTGGTAGACAGAAATAGCGAGGGAAACTGGTTGCCAAGGGGGAGAAAAACGGCCTGAATTAAATTACGCTGGTGGTATATATTCATTCGTTTAATTCTCGACCAAATCACGCTTCGTCGAGATCAATTAACAAATGTTTTCCATGTGAATAGTGTAGTTGTATAATCAAACGCAAAAACCTATTGCTATTCGATATACGGAATTTTGCGTGCAAAATAAAATAATTATTCATTAGAAAAACAAAACATCGAGTTAAGTCGGGTGAATTTATACGAATTTGGAAATTTAATCCTCTGTTTATTATTCATTGCAGGGAGAATCTGCGAAAATATATACTTTTTCACTTCTTTCATTCCAATCTGACCGTAGTTATTATACTTGCAAATAGTGTACAAATTCATAAATACCATCAAATAATGAATTTTAAAATCCTTCAGGATCATGGAGTTGAAATTTTTATATTTTTCCCATACGCATTTGGGTGACGTGCACCGGATATATTAAGCCCATGGATTACGAATAAACTTTTCGATAATAGTCTACCCGATATAACGGGAACAGCAAATGTAGATTACTCATTTGCAGAGAGAAAGAGCGCCTGATGTTTATAGATGGGTTGATGTATGAATGAATATTTCAAATTTTCAAATACTCCCGGACAAAATGATGTAAAAGAGGATTTTTAAAATATCATTAATGGAAAGCTTACCTGATTTTTTCCCTTCAGAACGAGGACATTCGTTACTCTGCCAAAAGGCATGCCTAAATGAATGATCTCCGACTCCACTACATCACTGGAGATGTTCCTTATGTGGATCACCTTCGATGGTTTGCCATTGTGACTCTTGTCCAGCTTCGCCTGTGGAAATAAATTCAATTTCATTAATTACCATCAAAGACTTCTAGACAAATTTATTTGAATAGTTTTTCTCGGTTGAATTATGATCTCATCGCAAAGATTCAGGAATAAAAACAGTCTTTTCTCCGAATTTTTGATCTCTCAAAACCTAATGGAAAATTCCATTCCCCAGATGAGTTGGAAAATGGCTGGAGGACTAGAGTTGATAAGAAAATTCAAGTACTGATAGAACCGACGGATGCCATCATTCCATGCATTGACAGCCTGAGACCCCAGAATTCCCCAGAATCTAAGAGGTTCGTGTATATACGATGTACCGCGAGAGTGAATAAAATACGATTTTCGCTTTTTAAATTATACAATGCTAAAAAAGTTGAATATCAAAATTGAGGGTAAAGAAGTAAATGGAGTAGCGTCTGCGGCTGAATTCATTCGTTCTCTTTTTCCACAAGCACTACGATTAACAAGCATGTTAAATTCAACTTCTTTTTGGCCCGGGGCGAAGTTTTCAATCGCAACTCAATCTGCTCGAATCACCCCAGTCAAATACTCCGCCTTCACCCCTTTCCCTCGATACTGATTGATTATTTCCTGCCTCTGTTTATTTACCATCAAAATATACTATGTAATTTTGCCAATTTAATGGCAACTAATTTCTTTGTGGTCTATTAGATGGGTCAGCGGTTATATATGGGGTCGTTTAATCTCGAGGGTGTAAAACCACGTTAACAATAAAATCGGATTAGCGGGCTGACGTGCCGTATCGGTGTGGTATCGACTACCGACTAGTGGTATAGAGTGTTTCTCGCACCATTTCTCACGGATACATTCATTCATGTATATATGCGCAATATAAAATCTGTGAAACAAGGCTTCACTAGTCGTGCAAGCTCAATGAATACTCTTAGGTGGAAAATTCAACAGGTTCTCTGTAACAATTTCTCTTCCAGATTTAACTTTTTCATTGTTTAGTTGATTTTTTTTTCTAATTCTCTGTTTTTCAATATTTTTTATGATTGCATTTGACAGAAGTCAGCCTGAATGACCATACAGATAGTCAAGTCGCTGTGGCAATCACAGCCCTCACTTCCTCTTCAGTTTCCCCTTTCTCCCTGATAAGCGCCTCTTCCATCTCTATCTTTCACGCATCTCACCTCTCACTCTCACTCTGTCTCTCACTCGCACTCTCTCTCTCTCTCTCTCTCTCCGTCCCTGTCGATAATTGGTCATAATGGAGGCAATTCGTGGAAAATCGATTATAGGAAATGGCCGAGTATATATCGTCCCTCGTCCCAACACTCATTCAGTGCCCTCTCCCATTTTTCTCATTGGTCTCCGCGATTCTTATGCACAACGAATAATTGACTGGCACTTTTTTTTTCTCTATTTTCAAAGAGCTGGAAAAAAACTCTCAACGAAACAAAAGTGGTCATCCGGTGGTGGGATTTTTCGTTATGATTTTTTTTTTCTCAATTGTAAAAATGAATACGTTATTCACACATATGTCCTAGTTGTACTTTTTTTTTTTACTCTGGAATATTGTAAATGTGGGAAGTACCGTGAACTCGACTCTGAACGAGCAAACGATGATTCAATTTTCAGACCGTAAACAATCAAAAGAACGGGCCAGTAACGTAACGAGAAACATTCGGTTAATTGGTCACCATGTGTACCGGCCCCCAGCATCCGTCGTGCTGGACACAAATAAAACTCAAAACCAGTGGTAAAAAAATGAAACAAGGAGTGGAACACACAATTCATTTTTTGATCCACTGAAAATATATATGGAGATATTTGACTAAGAGAACGTTTTCAGTTTTTTTTTAATGGGTACAGTCACGCGGCGGAGTAATCCGCAGATGAAAAGCAAACAACACAGATGAAAAAGATTTTTTGCTTGCCAGAAAAATCCCTTCATCTAGCAACTTTCCTCTTTTCCCTTAAAATAAGTAACTTTCACTCGATGTAACTTATACCTGAATTTTAAGAGCAGTTTTTACTTGAATCAAGTGAAAAACTCACTTATTTTAAGGGCAAAGATAGGATCGAGAGTTCTAACACGGATGGAAGTTTTCAGGAAAAATTCAGATGCTAATAACGAAGATTTCATGTATCTTCAGCTGTAATTTTTCCTAAAAATTAATTTCAACGTCAAATCGCGTAAATTTTCCGAGCGCTAAGTCGTTTTCTTACTTTCCCAGAATCGAGAGATATTTCCTGAGAAAAAGACATTTTTTATCTCAACGAACAAGCAATGAAAAAACGTCCAATCCCTGACTGGTTGCGATTGACACTTCATCATCGTGTCTTCCACTAATCCCCACAATCCCTTAATTCGTTATTGTCTGTACAACGAGCTAGAATAAAATTTGACATTGATATCCATGGATTTAGGAGATCGTATATACTGACACTTGTTCTATAGGTAAAGACGAATAAAGGGCGACAAATGTAAAAGGGGAAGAGAAAAAGGGGATGAAAAGGGGAAGTCAATAAAACGTGTCTCAAGTATCAGCGAAATAGGATACATGTATGTTTTTCTTAAATTTAGCAGAGGCCGGTTTAGTTGTCACGTTTTCTCTTTATCTTCGGTTGGCTGGCTAGGCATCGTTGGTAACCACTATATACCAAGCTCTACCACCCTCGATCAGTATATATAGAGTAAACCTATAGTTGGTTCTCTCTCACCCACTAGGGCGCCGCTTGAATTATCGGCAAAACGTCAATATGCATTACTGAGCTCGTCGTTCCAGTCAAGCTCCTGGTTGCACGGCCGAAGTCCACTTTGGCTCTACGCTTAGCCTCCCAACTACTATGCTTTCGAATCTCTCTCTCAAATTTTCCATCCAACCCTCTTTCTCTCAACCCAATCGCTCATTCCACCATCCTTTTACCATCGTACTCCATTTATTCAATTGATTGATTCGCCTGGGACAGCGCACAGCCATGAGATAATCATTAAAGCACTGTGTCATTTTTCTTGAGTTTAATCTTGTCAGAAAATTACCCTATACCATGGGAAATTTAAGGAATTTTTAACCACTAGCTCACCTGAATTTTCAATTATGTGAGTGCAATTATTTTTATGCTATTTCTATTGAGAATCGTCATTAGACTTCTCATTTATCTTGAAGATTGAATAAATTTTTAATGAAAACTTCAGCTTCAGGGATTTATCGTCTGAATTTTTAATACTTTTATGGCTTTTAAGTGCCCTATGGAGTGGAATATTGAGAATTACCGTAATCTGCAGAAATTCCAAGCGTAAAAATGATGAATTAAATTTTTCTAATAAATTCTTTAATTCATTCGTCATGATTTGGAGCACTACTGCTGAGAGTGTTCCATAGCATATTAAATAATATCTTTCATTGCGTTTTATTTAATTGAATTGAATGCAGAACAGTGAATTTTAACGCCAAAGTTTTTCCAAAATGACTTCCATAATAAAGACGTATCCCATTTTCTTCGTAAAAGAAAATTGGTAGAGAGAAGCCGAGTGAGTCGTTCATTTTGAGTTTGTGATTGTAGAAGATAGTACGAGGCAATTAATCCAACACATATTCAGTCGGTAGAAATTCCCATACGCGGCGTACAAACGAGTAAGTGTGCATAACCCTTTGATGAGAGGTCTTGTACACACAAAGTAAAAGACTAAACCGCTGCTGTTACCCCATGGGCCCTTACTTGAGATCGCGTCGTTACACGGAAGGGTAACTATAAAACTCTTAACGGCTTGCTGTGCAATCACCCTGAAAGCTAACCCCCGAGAGAAGGCTTGATGTTCGTGAGATAGATAACGCGATTTTCACCTCTCAAAATAGAGCAACAAAACCCCAGTGTTATATTGTAGCTAAAACCATTGCAAATGAGATGAATATATACTTTGTACATTTTCACTGAGAGACGCACGTCAGCATCATCCTCTGGTGTCCTGGGACAGATAAGACCGCGCAATTAATCAAAAGTACATATTGTGCCAGTTTGTAACGTACATAGCTGTATACATCACCCTTTCCTCTCTTTACCCCCTTTCATCCCTTTCCATCCCCCCTTTCGCCCCTCGTCAGCTGTCTTCAACCGTAGACTATCCACCACCTGGACGAACAAACTCAAGTGTCCCAACTCTTTCTCCTTCAACGCTCCATCAATAATGCTCAGTCTTTTTATATTGTATATACATCACCGGATTTTCTTCTTTTTCCGTGAAAAATTTATATCGCCATGATGAATTCACACAACACATCGTTCCAGGCTATCAACAATATTCATAATCTATTCCTTCGATTATTCAATTTTTTTCTAATCAATTATTTGACCCATGAGATTTTAAATTCAGTGGTGGTATTGGAAATAAAAGTATGCAAACACTGAAACGTTATGGCTTGGGATACATCAAATTTCTGGATTATCATGGAAATACAGGAAAATTGTTGTTAAACATGATAGCTGGATAACTTTAGTACCGCAGTAGTATTATTGAGAGACAATTTTAAGGGCTCATTCAATCTTCCCAATATCCTCAAAAAGTCCAAGACTGAAGGAAAAGTTGTTCTCTTTTTTCATTCATTCCTCATTGTATCTATTTATTCCGCTAATCCCAGCCATGAAATCGATTCCGGGCTAATAATAATTCTTGTTGAAAGAGAATTCTGGGATGGATGGATCAGTGTTCTTGTAGAATTAAACCGAGTGAATTTTTTAAAAACGACAAAGGCACAATGTCGGGATATAGCGAATAAAATTGCTACGTCAATTCAACGGATTTGAAAAGACGATTGATATTTTCCTTGGGCCATGACAGCTTCATCATTTTTCCAAAATCAAGTAATGAAAAAGAAAAAATCGGAGGCAAATGGAAGAGATGGTTATTCAAGCTGCACATGTAGTGGGTAAAAATTAATGGTTGTTGGGGCTCACGTCACATTCGAGAATTGTAGGTTGAATGGCTGTGACTGAGGTATATCACGAGTCTTACCCTTCAAAAACCTTTTCCGTAAAAGTTCCAAGACGCATTTCATCCCGGTTGGTAGGTATTCCAGTTATTTGGTACGGTATACTGCATTTTCCCGCATGAGAAAACTATTTTTCTCTCTTCTTTTCTGTTTGTGTGGGCTCGGTTGTATCCTTTGTTTTCACGTTTACAATCAAAAATTCCTGAACCTGCCAGGGTAAATTTTCCAGCGCTATACGAGCATCCGATAATTGCCAGAAATCGATATGGATAAATCGTGTTAGATAAAATATTTCACGCCATTCAGGAGATACGTGATATTAAATTATTTCCTCTTTCGCAGTCGCAAACTAATTGCTGAATTTTCCGGAAAATTGCATTGAATTCCACGGAGGAAAAATCTATGAAACTTCCCATTTCTCCGAAAACTCATTTCCCTCGGGAATTTATGGATATTTTGAATTTGCCTAATTTTTATTGGTTTTTATGGCATTATTCAACTGTGATTCAGTTTCTGTGGACTTTTTTCGTGAAAATTGTAGATTTTCAACGAAAAAACATGGAAAATTCATTCACGAAATTTTCCAAAAAATAATTCCGAATAAATCTACCCAAGAGAAAAATACCTACGAAACTTTCAACTTCCCTAAAAACCCATTGTCATTGAAAATTAAAGAATATTTTTAATTTTCCTGATAACTATCAATTTTTATGGCATAATTAAATTGTAACTCAGTTTCTCTGGACTTTTTTGTCGGAAATTATGGATTTTCAATGTCAAGAGCTAGAAAATGGATTTAAAACCTACAACCGTAACATCTTCAACTTTCCAAAAAAATCCATTGAATTCCATCGAAGAGGAAAAAAGCTATGAAACTTCAAACTACCGTAAAAATGCGAAAATTCATTGACAAAAAGTGAAAAATTCTTTGAAAAATCTGAAGAGTGCATCCGGTAAAGGTAAAAATGTGAAAAATGAAGGAAAACTGTACCTTTTTTGCGTCATTGTTGTTGTCAGCGGCGTGATGCGGCTGGGGACTCATGGAGGCACCATTGTTTACTGCACCGCTCTGCGACAAGAGTTCATCGCTTCCTCGCTGAAACAATAAAAAAAAAACGATAAAAATATGAATTCTCTTTCGAAATTAAAGCTGAGTCAGTGGGAGAGCTTTGAAATTTCAAAGAAATATGCTCATTGCGAGTGTATTATATACATATTAATATTAATTCCCGTATAAAAGAACGCACAGCATCAACAAAGCGGGACAATATGGGGCGATATTTTATTAAAAAAAAGGAGTCACCTGGGGGTGAAGAGAACCGGTGGAGAGGATAATACTGAAGCTCGTCGGTGTCGCCACTGCTGAGCGTTAAATATACAATGCCGCCACTAAATTGCCAAGGTTCATGGATGTAACGAATGATGAAATAAATAACAGAGCATAGGCAACGAAACGGGTAGTTGAAGAGAGGCTCTTCGAGTGGAACCACAACGACTAAGTGAATTCTTAAAAGCCAACTATATTTACTGACGTTGAAAAATCCACAGTTCTCTGAAGATGCTTTATTTTGTCTGCTAATGAAGTCACGAACCATGAGAGATCATCAATATTTAACGTGAAAGAAAATATTTTGTAAAGATTGATGCAAACACATGGGTGAAAATAAAAGATTTAAAAATGGTTTTTGAGAACATTATCCTCTTGCTCTACCAAGGAGACGGAATGGCAGATCAAAGGCCCCACGGTTAGAGGTTTTCCATTCGCAGAGGTTGCAAAGACTTGGATGAAGAGGACATGAGAACTGCTACGAAGAAATATAAGAGGAAAATATATTGGTAAACCCTGAATACACAAGTATAAGTTGGATGAATCGAAGGGAGGGATTGCAGATTGACTGGAGAAAAAGGGGAAAATAATTGAGTGGACAGTGGACCAGGCGAAAATCGATGGAGCGATATGTTGTAATTACGGAATTTTCATTGATTGACCACTCTCATTATCCCCCAACATGACCATAATATTAACCATCATCAGGTAGGGAAACGATAATCTCGAGGCCAACACCGCATAGTAATGAGGGTCATGAAGTGCAGACGATTCGGATGGGGATTGTAACGCTAAGCGGCATATCTCCACGAAATAATTATGACAAGCGAGTATCTAATGGCAAGGTTCTTCGTTATAGGTGTGCACTGCTCGTTACACACCGAGAACTGAGGGTGGTGGTGCCTATCCTCTGTATTACATGCAGGGCAAAGGATTATACATGCTCACTTCCAGAGATAATGATGACGGCCAGACCACGGGAATTACACAGCTCCAGTTTCTTCACTACTATCTGAAATTAAGTAACAGCCCCTCTCCCACCCCATCACCCTCATCCACCCCAACCACCCCATCCCTGTCAACTCAGCGTTATTTACAATACTGCCAACTTTTAAGTGATTGATTTTCATGAGAAACAATTAATGATGAATATTGTACGCGGGGAAAATAAATTGGATTGTTATGGCTCGTGTGATTGGCATGCGGGAGTCGGTGTTTTACATCGTAAAAAAAAATTCATCGGATACAAGTGAGCTGCTGCACGTATATCTGCTCGTGCTACGGATCCATTGGAAGATCTTTTTCAGGGCCATATCACCTGCCACTGGGTATTCCCCTGGCAATTTTGTCGTCGCGAAGTCAACACCCCGCGTACTTCATGAATTTCAAATTCTTCTAAACATCTCGCACAAGTGCGCGCAAAAGTCGCAGTCAAACGAAATAGAAAGAATTGAAATGGCAGGAGAAAAAAACTATGAACTACCAGATGTCGTGTCAATGTATATGTTGTTGGATGGACTGGAGAGAGTCTATATATAATTTAACATCTGACAATTAAATCTGACATTAGGAAGATAGTTTATGCATTGTTGAAAATAAAGCCTTAATAGCCATAATATATACAGATTGTGCAATTATTCAATTATCGTGTGTCTCGCATTACGAAATTCTTCTCTTTTCTCTCTTTCCCGTTTTCTCGTTTTCTTTAGTATTATGAATATACTTCAGAATCAGAAATTATACAGACAGCAAATTTTCAATTTACGTATTTCAGGTCTTGAATAATTGGATTGGATTTAATCCAGTTAAACGTCGTTGAAATTGTTGTAAGTGCATTATTATGATAACAACATGAAATTCACAAAGAGCTCAGTTAGAGGGATATAAAAAAAAGAGGGGAAAAAACGGATACTCCAGGAAAATTCTATCATCAAAGGGTAGTGACAGGATATAACGCTCTTTTGCTTCTGGGAAAACTTTACGTCAACTGACCTCGTGCGGCTCGGCACTTGACGTACAAAATTGAATCTGTATTCCATTTTCTAAAAGCAATTTGTGACTATCTTCAAAAAGTTTTTTGACCTCTTTTGCTACTCATTCCCCATCGCCTCCCAGAATTTACGAGGAGTTGCCTGTCCTAGAACAGCACGTCAAGTTGCTGTAATTATTTTCATGGAGTTGACAAGTTTCGGTCGATTGGTGGAAAAACTTCATCATCTAATGAATATCTAGATTTTCATAAAACCGGCAATTTCATCTCATTCATTTTTGAGACGCGAGTGAAAGAGCCAGAGACGAGAAAGTGGAAAATAAAAATTTGAGCTCTGGCTCTCTGGAGACTCGGGCTGGGGGCAAATCTAGGATTTTAGGGGGAGAAAAACTCCCAATTGGCTGAATAAAAAAAAAAACAGGCCAATGCGACGAGGGTCAGGAGAATTGAGGGGTAATTTTCAATATAAAATTCTCTCCATCCAGCGAAAGAACAAAAATTGATTCGATGTTGGACGCGCCACCCTCTCGCCTGTCCAGCAGAAGAGTTACTTAAATAGGTATTTGCCGTGTTATGTATCATTGACCTATCAGTTATCCTGATTACAGGGCGGGCAAATAATAAATGAAGATTGCGTGAGTGAATCCGCACCAGAGCCGCCCTTTTCCATTCCATCAAAACAAACCGAGCCAAATCCCACATATCTCTTTATTTACCGCCCTTGCCCTCGCCATTTTCCATATAATTTGAAACACGCGATTGACACATGTTACGGGGAGAAAACCCCAGTGCTGGCATAAACAGAAAAACATGAAAAACATAATGTCTATTGATTCTGAATGGTGGAAATTCGCATGGATATGGAGACATATGTACGAAAGAGTGAGACAGCTTGCATAAAGATTTACGATCAGGGAAACGGTACATTATCGAAGTGGAAAGAGGAATTGGTGGGAAAGGGCAAAAGGGGAAGGGAGAGGGAGATGTGGATATATATGATATATTCGTTGAGCCACAGAGTGGAAGAACTGGGGACTTGGAGAATCTACGAGTACCGCGAGAGAAGTAAATCAAATTTAAAAATCCCAACGGCGCCAGCCAACCGTCCGAAAGCCCAACATTCGCGTATATGGCAAACCAATTTATATATAGAATACATACGTATTATGTACCATTACCATTGACTTGTGGCAACAACTTCACCCATTTTCTTTTTCCGATAAATTTCGACAGATTGTGGCGATTTTAGGTTCCATCGGAGCAACCGTGGACAGATGGTAGAGTGACTCCCAAAAGTTGTTGTAATTTATAGAATATCCATATTTATATGGAAGATATCCTCCCGCTTCGTCTTCATCAATCTAACCACTCATCGATCTCCTCTATTTAAGTGTCAAATTTAGACAACCGATGGCCATTTTTTCAGTCGTTTTTTCCCCACTGAATATTCCCTATTATATTTCGCTCCTTTTATGCACAGCCTCCCGTGATTTTGGTATTCATAAAAAAATTATCTCCTGGAAATTCCGGGAAAATTACACGAAATTCAATTTAGGAAGAAGATATCCGTGGAACAATTTCCATGAAGTTTTTCCGCGAAGACTGAATTTTCATTGACTAAATTCCCTGAATTTCTTGCTAAAGGGATAAAAATTTTAATTTTAGATTGAATAACTCCGACATTTTTTTCACACATAGGGAGAAGAGAGACGAGTGACGAGTGAAGAGGTATCGTATAATAAACTGAAGGGACGTATGTCGGGTATAGAGACTGTTGGATAGTGTGAAATTTCACGGTATCCTGTATCCGCGACCTCGCGTTTCTCGCCCTGCGCGTCGGTGCCGACTCATTCAATATTTACTTGGCTCAGGTCATTGAATATTCCCTAGCAGTACATTCCAAGTACACCAGTAATACTCGTCGCTTGAATGCGCCGATGCGAGTAAAGAGCAAGAGCGAGTACGAAATAAGCGAAAGGTAGAATGTAAACGGAGAGGAAAGGGAGCGAAATGAAAGGGTGGTATCGCATTTTCGCCTCAATACAAGCGCATTCGTATTAATATTTTATCTCCTACCAGAGTCCCATTCGATCTTTTGGATACTCCAGTGCTGTGCCGGAGATAAATTTTTACAGGAATAAAAAAAAAATGCCGGAGAAAAATCTATTACGGGCCACGGGAGTTCACGATGAGGTAAGAAGGGTAAAATTACCAGTTCCGACAAGATGTTTTTTCCGATAGAAACGGCAGAGGTTATTAAACAGTAACTCACACTCTGACACTGTATTTTGCAATTGATTTTACTATCCCACTATCCTAAATCAATACTGAAGTGTAAAAATCAACACTCGAATCGTCGTAATCTCACTTCACCCCCTGGTGAAGGCGATTATGGCAGTGATTGATGACTGTAATATTAACAAGGACGAAACCACCCCATTCTCATCAGAATCCATCCACGAGCGTTTGGTGGATCCTCTCTTACGACTCATTTCCCACCAAATTGTGGTAAGACCTCTCAGTCAGCAATTAACCCCAGCAATTTCGCGATTAGTCGCGTGGTTTTAAAAAGAAGATAAGACGACGGAAAAGTGGAGTGAGTAATGGCAAAACGGTTGGTAGATGAAAAGAACGTGTAATAATCCCAGTCCCTCCAGGATTTGAGATTTATATATGACAGTTTAACGACGACACCTGCGTCTCTAGCTGATGATTCAAGGATTGAAAAATATTCTCCCGGTGAAAAAGACTAATATATAACGACAATCATGACGACAGT